CACTCCTATATATACCACACTTTAGTCAATTTGATCATATGTATATGTGTGTGGCCCTGTATGTGTTTGCCAATATGTTTTTATTTTAAGATCCATATACATGAGAAAATATGAGTCCCTTGTCTTTCTAAGCCCAACTTAATTCACTCAATACAATTTTTCTTCCTCCTCCTCTTTTTCTTCTTCTTCTTCTTCTTCTAATTTTTTTTTTTTTGTCATGGGGCTTGAACTCTGGGCCTGAACACTGTCCCTCAGCTTTTCAGCTCAAGGCTAGCGCTGTACCACTTGAGCCACTGCGCCACTTCTGGTTTTCTGAGTGGCTTATTGGAGATAAAAGTCTCATGGACTTTCCTGCCCGGGCTGGCTTTTAAACCACAATCCTCATGGGCTGGGAAGGTGGCTCAGTGGTAGAGTGCTTACCTTGCATGCATGAGGCCCTGGGTTCGATTCCTCAGCACCGCGTAAGCAAAAAGAAAAAAATCCGAAAGTGGCGCTGTGGCTCAAGTGGTAGAGCGCTAGCCTTGAGCTGAAGAGCTGAGGGACAGTGCCCAGGCCCAGAGTTCAGGCCCCACGACCGGACCCAAAAAAACCCCCAAAAAACAAAACAAAAACCTCGATCCTCAGATCTCAGCCTTCTGAGTAGCTAGGATTACAGGGATGAGCCACCAGCTCCTGGCTTCAGTATGATTTTTTCTAAATTTACTTCACTCAGTATGATTTTTTTCTAGGTCAATCCATTTTCTTTCTTTTTTTTTTTTTTTGGTCCGGTCGTGTGGTCTGAACTCTGGGCCTGGGCGCTGTCCCTCAGCTCTTCAGCTCAAGACTAATGCTCTACCACTTGAGCCACAGCGCCACTTCCTGCTTTTTTCTTTTTGCTTATGTGGTGCTGAGGAATTGAACCCAGGGCCTTAGGCATGCAAGGCAAGCACTCTACCACTGAGCTACCTTCCTAGCCCTGTCAATCCATTTTCATTACTTTCTTATGAATGACTAATTCCATTATGTATGTATATATGTATATATTTGTGTATGTACATGTGTATGTCTATGGATATAGATATAAAATCTCATATTTTGTTGATCCATTCATTGGTTGTAGGGCAAATGGACTGTTTCAGTAATTTGGTTACTGTGAATAATGCTGCAGTGAACATGGGTGAGTGAGTACCTTTATTGTCTTCTGACTTGCACTCTTTTGAATAAATGCTCAAGAATAGTATTGCTAGATATACAGTAGTAGTAGTTCTGTTGTTAGGGTTTTGTTTTGTTTTTGCCAGTCCTTGGGCTTGAACTCAGGGCTTATGTGCGTTCCCTGAGCCTCTTTGTACTCAAAGCTAGTGCTCTATTGCTTGAGACACAGCGCCACTTCTGGCTTTTTCTGAGTAGTTTATTGGAGATGTGAGTCTCATGGACTTTCTTGCCAGGGCTGGTTTCAAACCACAATTCTCAGATCTCAGCCTCCTGAGTAGCTAGGACTACAGGAATGAGCCAACAGCACCTGGCTTAGTTTTCGTTTTTTGAGGAATCTCTATATAGACTTCCATAGGAGTTACAAACTTACATTTCCACCAGCAGTATGGTGAGAGTTCCTTTTGCTCAAGACGGGTACTCTACCACTTGAGTTATGCTTCCACTTCTTTTCATTTGTTAGTTAATTGGAGATAAGAGTCTCAAGGACTTTTCTGCCCAGGCTAGCTTTGAGCTGAGATCCTCAGATCTCAGCCTCCTGAGTAGCTCAGATTATAGTTATCAGCCTGGATTGTTGTTTGTATTCTTTTTTTTTTTTTTTTTTTTGGTCGGTCAGTCGTGGGGCTTGAACTCTGGGCTTGGGTGCTGTCCCTGCGCTCTTCAGCTCAAGGCGAAGGCTCTTCCTCGAGCCACAGTGCCACTTCCATTTTTCTAGTGGTTAATTGGAAATAAGAGTCTCACAGACTTTTCTGCCCGGGCTGGCTTTGAACTGTGATCTTAAGATCTCAGCCTCCTGAGTAGTTAGGATTACAGTTGTGAGCCACTGGTGCCTGGCTGTTGTTTGTATTCTTTTTTTTTTGGTCCGGTCATGGGGCCTGAACTCTGGGCCTTGGGCACTGTCCCTCGGCTCTTCAGCTCAAGGCTTTTGCTCTACCACTTGAGCCACAGCGCAACTTCTGGCTTTTTTTTTTTTTCTTCTGCTTATGTGGTGCTAAGGAATTGAACTCAGGGCCTCATGCATGCAAGGCAAGTGCTCTACCACTGAACCAACTTCCTAGCCCTGTTGTTTGTATTCTTGATGATGGTGACTGACCAAAATGGGATCCAACCTCAATGTTTTGTGTTATTGATGTTTTCAGTTGTGGGGCTTGAACTCAGGAGCTGGGCACTGTCCCTGACCTTTTTTTTTTTTGCTCCACCACTTTGAATCACAGCCCTACTTCCGATTTTCCGGTGGTTAATTGGAGTTGAGAGTCTCATGGACTTTCCTGCCTGGGCTGGCTTGGAACCTCAATCCTCAGATCTCAGCTTCTTGAGTAGCAGCATGAGCCACCAGCACCTGGTTTCAGTGTCGTTTTGATTTGCATTTCCTTCATGGCCAATGATGCTGTATTTCTTCATATATTTATTGGCCACTTATACTCCCCTTTTGAAAAATGTGTGTTTAGCTACTTACTTCATTTATTGATTCCTTGGGGACTTAGTTTTTAAGCTCCCTATGTATTTTTTTTTTTTAATTTTGTTTTATTTGAGAACATACTGTACAGAGGGGTTACAATTACATGGGCAGGATAATGCATACATTTCTTACCAAGCATTGCAGCCTCCTCCTTTGTTTACCCTTCACCTCCCTTCCCAGCCTCCCCCCTCCCCCCCACCCAATCATACCCCCCCTCCCCCCCCCCACCGACATTGTAAAGCTGGTTATGACATGACATTTTGTACTTCTCATTGTTGCAACAGGTCCACCTGAATCCTTAAACGACTTGTTTGTCCCCGTCTCCTCCACATGTTATACTGACATCAAATATAGTGAAAGCGGGGGTTACACTGTGGGGGAGGGACATACAAAGCAACAAAGAAATAATCTTATAAATGCGTTAGAAACACATGCATGAAAGAAACAAAAACATTAAAATACATATTTGAGGGTTCGTTTTCCTAACATCACATTCTCTGACTTTTTCCGCTTGACTCATACCTATACTAGATATTGCAAATAAGGGAAACCATGGGACCTATGTTTCTTTGGGCCTAGCTTACTTCACTTAATATAATTTTTTCCAAGCCTTTCCATTTCCTAACAAATGGGGAAATGTCATTCTTTCTGATGGAGGCATAGAATTCCATTGTGTATATATACCACATCTTCTTGATCCATTCATCTACTTAGGGGCATCTGGGTTGGTTCCATATCTTAGCTATGGTAAATAATGCTTAAGCTCCCTATGTATTATTGTTAGTTGCTTGCCAGAAATTTTCTCTCATGGCAAAGTTTTTCTTCCATTCTATAAGTTGTCTTTTCAGTCTAGTGACTTCATTCTTTGCTTTACAGAAGCTTTTTAGTTTGATGCAATCCCATTTGTGAATCCTTGTTCTTACGTGCTGAGGTAATGGAGTTCTATTCAGGAGGTTTCTGCCTATGACAATAGGATATAGTATTTTCCAATACTCTTTCCATTAGTAGTTTCAAAGGTTCAGGTCTTACATAGTAAACATCATTGTATGTACCATCATGCCCACCTCACTTTTAAAAATACCATATTCAGCCGGGCGCTGGTAGCTCACGCCTGTAATCCTAGCTACTCAGGAGGCTGAGATCTGAGGATCGCGGTTCAAAGCCATCCCGGGCAGGAGAGACCGTGAGACTCCCATGTCCAATAAACCACCACAAAACCGGAAGTGGCGCTGTAGCTCAAGTGGTAGAGCGCTTGCCTTGAGCTGAAGAGCTGAGGGACAGCGCCCAGGCCCAGAGTTCAAGCCCCACGACCGACCAAAAAAAAAAAATACCATATTCACTTATCAGTTATGATGTTTAAAAAATTCACACACAAATATACAATGGAATGAGCAAAAATATATTCTAGCATTGACAGTAATAGCAAAAGGTCTTATAAGGAAATGATTCAATAATTATTTGAGTTTACATTTTAGGGTAATCATAAGTGAGTTATGAGATACATCTACATGGAGTAATATCAGAGTATTTTTTCTTGTAAAGAAACTGTACAGAGGGGCTACAGTTACACGAGTAAGGTAATGAGTACATTTACCTATTGAGCATTGTTACCTCTTCCTTTGTTTTTCCCATACCATCCCTTCTGTACCCACTTCCCAACTGCTCCTTCCCTATCATGATGTATATATATATATATTTTTTTTTGGGTCCGGTCGTGGGGCCTGAACTCTGGGCCTGGGCGCTGTCCCTCAGCTCTTCAGCTCAAGGCTAGCGCTCTACCACTTGAGCCACAGCACCACTTCCGGCTTTTTTTCTTTTTGCTTATGTGGTGCTGAGGAATCGAACCCAGGGCCTCAGGCATGCAAAGCAAGCGCTCTACCACTGAGCCAACTTCCCAGCCCCATGATGTATATTTTTAATATACATTGTTGAGTTTAAGACAAATGTTTCAGAACCTATATTTCAGGATACTGTGAACCTCCTACTTATTTATTTGGCTTATACCAGTTATTCCTTATTGTAACTGCCTGTTTTTCCTTGGAAGAAGTCAACAACTCAGGGATATTCCCCTCATTTTGTTCACTAAAGTTTCCCATAATCCTAGAATAGTGCATGACACATATATAGACATTAAATAAATAGTTGTTGAATGAATGCCTGATGAGGTCTATGTAAAGAGATCCGTGTGAAAACTTTCACTCATGAATTTTACAATTTTGTGTTTTTAAACTTTAATAATAGAGAAATATAAAAAAATTATACAGTATAACTTTTGGATATATATTTTGGATACATATGTGTATATGTATGTATTTCAAAGCTCCAGATTTGCTTTCCTTTTCTAAATTTTCAGCATCAGTAGTGGAGGGTCAAAAGGGTATCATTCCTCGAGCTATACAAGAAATATTTCAAAGCGTCTCTGAAAATCCTAACATTGACTTTAATATAAAAGTATCCTACATAGAAGTATACAAAGAGGACCTAAGAGATCTTCTAGAACTGGAGACATCCATGAAGGATCTTCACATCCGAGAAGATGAAAAAGGGAACACAGGTAAAGTAGTCTGTCTACTTAACCAGTTGCCTTTAGTAGCAAGCAGATATACTGAGTTTTGCCTGTGTGTGCTTAGACAAGTGCTCTGCCACTTGAGCCATATTCTGAGCTCTCAAGAATATCTTTAAGGGCTGGGAAGGTGGCTCAGTGGTAGAGCACTTGCCTTGCATGCCTGAGGCCCTGGGTTCAATTCCTCAGTACCACATAAGCAAAAAGAAAAAAGCCGAAAGTGGTGCTGTGGCTCAAGTGGTAGAGCGCTAGCCTTGAGCTGAAGAGCTGAGGGACAGTGCCCAGGCCCAGAGTTCAGGCCCCACAACAGGACCCCCCCCCAAAAAAAAAATCTTTAATTCAATTTCTGGATATATTCCAAGGAAGTTTAAAAAACTAAGCAAAAGGAATTTTTACTTTTTATTCATTTGCTCTTGAGGTACTTAGAATGAAAGTTGGAGCTATGTGCATGTTAGGTAAACACTCTGTCATCAACCCATAACCATAGCCCTTGTTTTTGTTTTTAAATTCAATATCTTTTTGCTTATTGTGTGAAAAGTAGTTCTTCAGACTGGATGAATTTATTCATTTGTAATTCAGAGTACTGTTTTCCTATTGTTAACTTACATCTGAGCTAACCTTAAACTGATATTGGCTAAATTTAATTTTATATTTTTTTCCTCTCAGGGACTTCCTGAGATGAAGGATGGCTGTCCAGATTTTTGTCAAGAAACACCTATTTTTTTCCTCATCTTTTTTTTTTTTTTTCCAATACTGGGGTTTGAATTTAGGGCCTTACTTGCTGGCCAGGCGTTCTACCAGTTGAGCTATGTTGCCCATCCCATTTAACTTTAGCTATTTTTCACATAGGGTCTCATGTTTTTACTTTAGTAAACTTGGACTTCAGTCCTCTTATTTATACCTCTTATGTAGCTGCTATGACAAGCATATGTCACCACACTCAACTTATTGGTTGAGATGGGGGTCTTAATAACTTTCTGCCTTGGCTGGCCTCAAACTGCAGTCACACTTGATTCCCTTTTAAGAGCTTAGAGCTTGAATTTTGCTTCTCCACATTGACATTTACTATCCTTTGTTATGCATCTTGAGGTCTGACTTTTGTGTGTGTGTGTGTGTGCTAGTATGGGGGCTTGAACTCAGGGCCTTGTGCTCTCACTTAACTTTTTTGCTCAAGGCTGGAGTTCTATCACTTGAGCCATAGCTCCACTTCCAGGTTTTTGGTGGTTAATTGGAAATAAACAGTCTCAAGACTTTCCTGACATTTTCCTGCCTTTGAATCATGATCCTCAGATCTCAGTCTCCTGAGTAGTTGAAATTACAGGCATGAACACAGGGCAGAGGTCTGACTTTTTGGGCTAATAATCTGTTAACTCTATTAATTATTTTCTGTTGTTTGGAAATGGAAGAATATTACCAGGAGGGATAAAAATGCAAACATTTTTTTTTTTGGGGGGGGGGTCTGGTCGTGGGGCCTGAACTCTGGGCCTGAGCACTGTCCCTCAGCTCTTCAGCTCAAGACTAGCGCTCTACCACTTGAGCCACAGTGCCACTTCCAGCTTTTTTCTTTTTGCTTATGTGGTGATGAGGAATCGAACCCAGGGCCTCATGCATGCAAGGCAAGCATTCTACCATTGAACCACCTTCCCAGCCTGCAAACATTTTTTTAAATGACATTTTTTTTTTCCTTTTCAAGATACTGAGAATTGAACTCAGGGCCTCATGGTTGCTGGACAGATGCTCTACCACTTGAGCCATCTCCCTTGTCCTTTTGCTGTTAGTTTATTTTCAGATAAGGGTTTGCCTGAGTTGGCCAGAGATTTTGATTGTCTTACTTCCATCTCTCCAGTAAGTGGAATCATAGGTATGTGCCACCATGCCTTGTTTTTAATTTTTTTTTGTGCCAGTCTTAGGGCTTGAACTCAGAACCTGAGTGTATTTCCACTCAAGGCTAGCACTCTGCCACTTGAGCCATAGCTCCACTTCCAGATTTTTTGGTGGTAAATTGGAGAGAAGAGTTTCAGCCAGCCTAGGGTAGTTTTGAACCTCACTCCTCAGCCTCCGGAGTAACTAGGATTACAGGAGTAAACCATCAGCACCCTATCCCTGTTTGTTTTGGAGATAAGAGTCTTACTTCTTTCTCCTGGGCTGTCCTCAAACTAATTTTTATGTCCATTTCCTCAGTAGCCTGGATTACAAGCATGTATCACCGTGCCTAGCAATTTTTTGCTTATTTGAGTTAAGAGCTATTTGTCATGGAATATTTTGAAAATGTATAAAACTATAAGGGAGAAAGTTAAAGATCATCTCTGACCCTTGAACTTTGAAATGGCAGGTTTTTCCTCCTCCTCTCCTTGATGCTGGAGATTGATCCCAGGGCTTTGTACATGCTTTGCAAGTGCTCTGCCATTGAGCTAGTTCTTCCATTAGCCAATAATATCTCTTTTTGTGTGTTTCTTTCCCAAATTCCTATTCTGTGTATATATAATTTTAAAACTTTTTTTTTTTTTGTTGGTCGTGGGGCTTGAACTCTGGGCCTGGGCGCTGTCCCTCAGCTCTTCAGCTCAAGGTGAGTGCTCTACCACTTGAGCTACAGCGCCACTTCCGGTTTTTCTGGTGGTTTATTGGAGATAGGAGTCTCACGGTCTCTCCTGCCCGGGCTGGCTTTGAACCGCGATCCTCAGATCTCAGCCTCCTGAGTAGCTAGGATTACAGGTGTGAGCCACCAGCGCCCGGCCATAATTTTAAAACTTTATGGGCTGGGAAGGTGACTCAGTGGTAAAGTGCTTGCCTTCCGCATGAAGCCCTGGGTTTAATTCCTCAGCACCACATAAGCAGAAAAAGCTAGAAGTGGCTCTGTGGCTCAAGTGGTAGAGTGCTAGCCTTGAGCTGAAGAGTTGAGGGAATGCTCAGGCCCAGAGTTCATGCCCCACCACTGACAAAAACAAAAAAATAAAAAAAGTATATGCTTGTAATACAGTACTACCTACAGTTTTACATTTTATTTTCCACATAATATTTATATTGTATTTTCATCACAGTTTTGTTTTGTTTTTGACAGTCCTAGGGCTTGAACTCAGAGCCTGGGTGCTATCCTTGAGCTTTTTGTGCTCAAGGCTAGTGCTCTATCACTTGAGCCACAGCTCTACTTCCAGCTTTTGTGACATTTAATTGGAGATTAGAGCCTCATGGATTTTCCTGCCAGGGCTTGATTGGAACCACAGTCCTCAGATCTCAGCCTCCTAAGTTGCTAGGATTACAGGCATGAGCTAGAACCTGGATATCACAGTTGTTGGGTTTTTTTTGTTGTTGTTGGTGGTGGTGGTGGTGGTGATAGTACTGGAGATTGAGCTCAGGACCCCTTGCTAGACAGATACTTAAGCTACACCCCATTCCTGTTTTGTTTTTTGGTTATTTTTTGGAAATAGTCTTTTTTTTTTTTTTGTCAGTCATAGGGCTTGAACTCAGGGCCTGGGTGCTGTCTCTGAGCTTTTTTTTTTTTTTTTTTTTTTTTTTTTTTTGGGTCCGGTCGTGGGGCCTGAACTCTGGGCCTGGGCGCTGTCCCTCAGCTCTTCAGCTCAAGGCTAGCGCTCTACCACTTGAGCCACAGCGCCACTTCCGGCTTTTTTCTTTTTGCTTATGTAGTGCTGAGGAATCGAACCCAGGGCCTCAGGCAATGCAAGGCAAGCGCTCTACCACTGAGCCACCTTCCTAGCCCTTGGAAATAGTCTTATGTCTTTGTCCAAGACTTGACTCAGACTTGAATTATCCTACCTACAACCTCCCAAGTAGCTAGGATTACAATTGTGGGCCATTGTGCTTAGTCCATTTGTATTATCAATGTGGTATAATAACTTATTTAACTCTGCTGTTGTAGAATATTTAGGCTGTTTTAAGGTTTTGTTATTAATGCCATTGATGTAAGAGTTCTTGGCTGAATTCCACTCCTAGAAAACATACATAGAACTTTTTCTGAAGAGGCTGCCAGACGAATGACTTCCTGGAGGACTTCGCTAGCACTTAGGAAAGGAAAATTGATATTATCATTCAAATTATAGTCTATAGGGGACAGTGAAACTTGCTCCTTACAGCCATGTTCTGGCCATCATGGCATTCCTGGATGCTTGGATAAACTGTTTTTTGCCTTGTAAGAAAGCGACCATGTTAGCTTATGGTCTTACTAGATAACCTTATATAGTTTTATCTATTCTGAGTAGAATTCATACTGAGCTTCTTGTACCTATGGTTATAATTACTGAGGTTTCTATGGTGTATAAAAATGACCAAATAATATATGCTAATTATAAAACATTAAAAACAATAGAAATATAGACTACACTCTGATTTCTAATAAACTTGGTGAATGTATTTTTCCTAAGTGAACCAATCTTGCAAAAAATTTGGAGGGCCATACAAATTATCTTAAGACAAATTACTATCTTATGTAGAGTTCTTCCCACGACCACAGTACATTTGATTGACAGATTGCTTTACTATCCTGGTATTCTCTGTCCTTGAAACAATGTTGTCTCAGCTACTGCAAAATTAGGGTCACCTGAAATGATTAATTTTTTAAAATATTGATTTCCAGGCCCAACTTCTTAGAGATTCTGATTTTTAGTCTAGGATAGTGCATTAGTTGTTTTTGTTTTGTTTTGTTTTTCATAATAAGTTACTAGGTGATACGTGAGTGGGTTTTAGAACCAGACCATTAGCTTACAGCCAAATATTCTATAAAAATTTCTAAAACTTTTATGAAAAATTTACTAGAATTTACAGGTTCAGTGCCATATTGTATAATCCTTGAGGGTTTAGCTCTGCCTATTTGTAGTACAGATAATTTAGAACTTTTATTTACTTTTTTTTGTACTATGAAATTTGAACTCTCAGGGTCTTGAGAGCTTACTAAGGCAAGCACCTCTCCTACCAAATCTGTAGTCTTTACAAAATTTCATTTACTTTTCTGATAGCATCTCCTACTTCTTGCCTGAGGCCAGCCTTGAACCATCTAGACCTCCCACAGAGCTGAGATTACAGATATGCACCTCTATACCCAGATTGTTCTTTGAGATAAGGTCTAGTTCATTTGCTTAGGCTGGCTTTGAACCTTGATTTTCTTATCTATGACTCCCTACTTGGAAGTCATAGATTGGGATTATAGTTGTGAGCCACCATACCTGGCCTAGAACTTTAAATGAACTAGGTTGCTACACTAGTGTCATGATAGAAATTATATAAACAAAGTTATTTATTTTAAAAGTAACAGTGATTGTGGCAGGATGTCAAAGAGGAAGCATGACACTACCATTTGAGCAAGGACTTGAGCTTTGCTTCTTGGATTAAAATCACAAATAACTTAATTTGTATTCAAGTTTTGATTTATCATTGATTGTGAGTCGACAACACAAAAAAAAAAGCTTTAAAGCTAAGGATGGCTTAAACTGCAAAAAAACTAATTTCTCTCAATTTACTACTGTCTAGCTCTATGAATCTATGATACATAGATTACTACTTAATCTGAGTCAAAATATTGAAACAGAGGGGTTTGAGTTTTTTGTTTTTGTTTTGTTTTGGGGATTGAACCTAAATCTTTTTTTTTTGTTTGTTTGTTTGTTTGTTTTTGGTCGGTCGTGGGGCTTGAACTCTAGGCTTGGGCACTCTCCCTGCGTTCTTCAGCTCAAGGCACATGCTCTACAGCTTGAGCCACAGCGCCACTTCCACCTAAACCTTTTTATGTGCTAAACACATACTTAACCACAGAGTTCTACCTCTAGCTCAAGAGTTTTTTTCTTTGGTTGTTCATTTTAAAGGTTTAAGTGTGATGTTTGGCGGAAGGAAGGAAGGAAGGAAGGGAAAAGAAAGGAAAGAAAGAAAGAACAAGAAAGAAAGAAGCGCACTAGATTTGTAACAATAAGTTATATCTTTTAGAGTTCAATCAAATGGTTCCATCGGGGAAATTTCCTTAAATTATTTAAATGAGATGGATGATGTTATTATTGTTTGCAATGCTATGTTTTTTTTCAAAGTGACTATCTTGATTGGGCTGTTTAGCAAATGATAACTTGTCTGTGTAACTCTATTGGATTTGATGGAAGCTTGCTTTTAAGATTTGTTGTTGCTATTTCCAGTGATTGTTGGGGTCAAAGAATGCCATGTGGAGAGTGTGGATGAAGTGATGAGTCTCCTAGAGGTGGGGAATGCCGCTAGACATACGGGTACCACGCACATGAATGAGCACTCCAGCAGGTCACATGCAATTTTTACAATCAGCATTTGTCAAGTTGAGAAAAATGCAGAGGCATCTGATGATGGATCATGGTATTCCCATCGGCATATCATCTCCAAGTTCCATTTTGTAGATTTGGCTGGATCAGAACGAGTAACCAAAACAGGGAATACCGGTGAACGGTTCAAAGAATCCATTCAAATCAACAGTGGATTGCTGGCTTTAGGAAATGTAATAAGTGCCCTTGGGGACCCACGCAGGAAGAGCTCACATATTCCATACAGGGATGCTAAAATTACTCGGCTTCTGAAAGACTCCCTGGGAGGCAGTGCCAAGACTGTCATGATCACCTGTGTCAGCCCATCCTCCTCAGATTTTGATGAGTCTTTAAATTCTCTCAAATATGCCAACAGAGCTCGCAACATTAGAAACAAACCCACTTTAAACTTTAGCCCCAAGTCAGACCGTATGGATGAAATGGAATTTGAAATTAAGTTGCTGAGAGAAGCTTTGCAAAGCCAGCAGGCTAGCGTCAGCCGAACTAGCCAGGTCCTTGGAGAGAGCACTCCTGATAAAAATAGGATCCATTCTCTAGAGGAACAAGTAGCTCAGCTACAAGGGGAATGTCAGGACTACCAAAATTGTATAGAGGAAGCCTTTACCTTCCTAGTGGACCTAAAAGATGCTGTTAGATTAAACCAGAAGCAGCAAGATCAACTTCAGGAGTGGTTTAACATGACCCAAGAGGTCAGAAAGGCCGTCCTTACTTCATTCCAAGGAAGCCAGGGCAGTGGAGACCTGGAAGAAGGACCACAGCATGTTACAGTTCTCCAGCTGAAGAGAGAGCTTAAGAAATACCAGGTACTTACACATTACTTTCATGAGTAACTTGTTTATGAACTACATGTATTTGGGCAAATCAATTCTAAAAGACTGCAATTGATGATGCTTTTAAGAAGAATTCCATTTACCCTTTGGCTTCCTCTGTTTCTTTCTATTCTCTATTGTTTCTTCTTCATGAGTTTTGACTTGATTGGTTCCTCTTCTCTTTATCGTTAAACTATAGGTCAGTATGTTAAATATATTAAATAGGTCAAGTGTAATATTTTGGTATCAACTTAGAGGGTGAAAAGAAATGTTTTCAGAAATAACTAAGTTGTACTTTTTTTTGACCATAAAAACATGATTTTATCAGTTAATTTCTTATAAGAGAATTATCTAAACATAAACTAATGGATAATCCCAAAACAAACTGAGTACAATAAAACTGTATCATAAATAAATTTGAACTTACACCTGAAAAGCCCAAAGTAATTTTTTTTTTTTTGGTTGGTCGTGGGGCTTGAACTCTGGGCCTGAGCGCTGTCCCTCAGCTCTTCAGCTCAAGGCGAGAGCTCTACCACTTGAGCTATAGCGCCACTTCTGGTTTTCTGGTGGTTTATTGGAGATAAGAGTTTCACAGACTTTCCTGCCTAGGCTGGCTTTGAACTACGATCCTCAGATCTCAGCCTCCTGAGTAGCTAGGATTATAGGCGTGAGTCACCAGCACCCGGCTCCAAAGTAATTTTTAAAAGTTTTTTGTTTGTTTTTAATAATCTAAGTTGTACTTTACTAAGTTCTTTCTCTGGGTCTGTAGTTCTTTAGAAAATACTTCATTTCTTAAGTCTAGATTTAATTAATTTAATCAACACATTTGACAATATCAAGCAATTAAGGAATGGATATGTATGCACATTGTATATACATATTTTGAGTTCAAAATTAATTGCCCCATTTATCATTTGAAAAAACATGGCATTAACGATTATGTGTCACTGGGAGATAATGTGGAACAAGACATACCTGGCTCACAAGACACACCTGGCTCTCCTTTTGTGGCATTCGTAAGAAGAATCTTTCTTTAAGTAACCTGGTTCCCAATTTCTAGGGTGTCATCTGTTTCCTAATATAGGAAAGCATTGCTTTCTGATGAGAAATGGGTATTCTCTATTATAGCACTTTGCAAACTTTTTCAAAACAAGAAAAAAATGTATAGAAGTGTGTTTTATATATATATATTTTTATTTATTTATTTTTTTATTTTATTTTTTTTGTCGGTCATGGGGCCTGAACTTTCTGGGCCTGGGCACTGTCCCTCAGCTCTTCAGCTCAAGGCTAGTGCTCTACCAGTTGAGCCATAGCACCACTTCCAGCTTTTTCTGTGTATGTGGTACTGAGGAATCGAACCCAGGGCCTCATGCATGCAAGGTAAACACTCTACCACTGAGCTACTTTCCCAGCCCGTGTGTTTTATATTTTTGCAGTCTCATTAACCTTTATCTTAATAGAAGGCAATTGGATTTCATAATGTGCTTTCAGCAGTTTGTTAGCTCATGCTGTTGAAGTTAGAAAAGAAAAATTCAGCCTTATGTAAATTTGTATTTGGAGTATTTTAATAACTTTTTAATATAACTGGAAATTTTTCTTTAATTTTTTTCATGTTTGAGGAAAGTACTCTATCACTTGATCAGCGTCCTTAACCTTTTTTTGTTTGTTGATTTGTTTTATTTTTTGAGATAGTGCTCTGCTAACTTGGCCCAAGCTAGACTCTAGCTCCAGAATCCTCCCTACCTTCTGAATAATTGGATGACAAGCATGCACTACCATGCCTGACTAGGAGGGGTGTGTGTGTGTGTGTGTGTGTGTGTGTGTGTGTGTGTGTGTGCGTGCGTGCACGCGCGCGCACATGCATATACATTTGCTGGTACTGGGGCTTGAACTCAGGGCCTTAAGTGCTTGCTTAGTCTTTTCTGCTCAACATTGGTACTCTATCACTTGGGCCATGCTTTTTTTTTTTAACATTTTGCTGGTTAGTGGTAAATAACAATGTCTTGGATTTGACTTCCCTGGCAATCTTCAGATCTCAGCCTCAGCCTCATTAGCAGCTAGGATTATAGATGTTAGCCATTGGTACTTAGTTTCAGAGATTATTTTTTAATACCATACCAGAACTTAACAAGTAGATATTTCCTATGTTTACTTGTAGTATGTGCTTTGAAATTTTTTTTTTTTTTGCCTGTACCAGGGCATGAACTCATAGCTTCAAATCTTGCTTGGCTTTTTAGCTAACAATTAGCACTGTGTCACTTGAGTCATGCCTCTAGTACTACTTTTTTTGCTGGCTAATTGGAAATTGTCTTGAGGCCTACTGCCAGGACTGGTTCAGACCTTAGTCCTTTGATCTCAGCCTCTTGTGGCTAGGATTACAGGTGTAAGCCACCCGTACCTGGCTAAAACTTTTAAAAAAATTAAGATTTGCTGGCTCCACATTTTGAAAATAATTGATCATTTAGGAAATAAGTTGTGTGCTAGGCTAAACAGTTATTCCAAAACCAATGATACCAAGGTATTATTTTTGTATTTTGTATTATTTTTGTTTTGTATGTAATTAGAGCTGAACCCAGGGCCTTGTGCATGGTAGGCCTTCTGCCTAACCACTTGAATTATGCTTTTTTGTTTGCATTTTGTCTCTATGAGCTACACTCACTAGCTTTTCCCAGGGCTGACTTTAAACTCAATCCTTCTGTCTGTACTCCCCAAATAGCTGAAAGTACAGGTATTGGATACTCTGTTTGGCTATTACATTTATAAGCATTTGTTGGAAGCTGTCAAGCTCATAAGTAGCAGAAATGTTTTCTGAAATTTAATTTTTGTGAAATTCAAGGATTATCATTTCTAGAAAAGCTCAAGTTTTCCTTGAAATGGTAGGTCCTCATTTTTGAGAAAATGTCTGCATGTACTCAAGTCTGAATAGCCATAGTTTATTTTTCTTTTTTCTTTTTTGGATTCGGTCGTGGGGCCTGAACTCTGGGCCTGGGCTCTGTCCCTCAGCTCTTCAGTTCAAGGCTAGCACTCTACCACTTGAGCCACAGCGCCACTTCTGGCTTTTTTTTTTTCTGCTTATGTGGTGCTGAGGAATCGAACCCAGGGCCTCATGCATGCAAGGCAAGCACTCTACCACTGAGCCACCTTCCCAGCCCAGTTTATTTTTCTTGTAAGCCTAGTTTGTTATTCTTTTTTCTTTTAATTGTGAAAAAACTGTACAGAGGGGTTACAATTACATGGGCAAGATAATGAGTACATTTCTTATCAAGCATTGTAGCCTCCTCCTTTGTTTCCCCTTCCCATCCTATCCTCCCCCCACCCCCCCAACACTCCTCCCCCCCCCAGCCCTCCTCCCCACCCCACCAAAGTTGTAAAGTTCATTTTCAACATAACGACTTGTACATCTCATTGTTGCAATGGGTCCACCTGTATAGCACAGACTAGCCTCTAATTCACCATCTTGTTAACTCAGTCTCCTGAGTACTGGGATTTCAAGCATGCACCACTATGCCTGATATAGTTTGTCATTTTTAAGTTCCTAGTGCTGCTTATAAATCATCTGCAAGTGCTCAAGTACATTCCCACATACAGCTTTTCCCACACACACGAACTCCAGAATTGAAAATTCATTTTTTTTGGTTGTTGTTGGTCATGGGGCTTGAACTCTGGGCCTAGGCGTTGTCCCTGAGCTCTTCAGCTCAAGGCAAGCATTCTACCACTTGAGCCACAGCGCCACTTCTGGTTTTCTGGTGGTTTATTGGAGATAAGAGCCTCATGGACTTTCCTGCCCGGGCTGTCTTTGAACCTTGATCCTCAGATGTCAGCCTCCTGAGTAGCTAGGATTACAGGCATGAGCCACCAGTGCCTGGCTGAAAATTAATTTTTTTATGCCAGTCTTGGCACTTGAACTCAGGACATGGGTGCTGCCCCTGAACTTATTCTGCTCAAGGCTAGCACTCTACCACTTCAGCCACAGCTCAAGTTCTATCTTTTTGGTAGTTAATTGGAGATAAGAGTCTCATGAACTTTCCTTCCCAGGATGGCTTCCAAGAGTGATCCTAATATCTCAGCTTCCTAAGTAGGATTACAGGTGTGAGCTATAGGCACTTGGTAAGGCAATACTTTCTTTCTTTTTTTGTGAAAGGTGGTAACCATGACTTGCCTCTTTCCCACACAGAACAAGCCCTTCCTCAGTAGTGTAAGAAACTGGTAGGACAGGAAGTACAGGTAATTGGAAGATTGAATTTTGGGATAATACAGATGTTGATAAGAAGAACTGCTTTTCCTTTTTCTTGCTTCTTAGGTGGCTGAAATTGGAAGCCCATACCACCTACTGTTAGAGGGGTAGGAAAAGTGCTAATTTTCTTTCTTTCTCTGTTAGAAACTCTAAAATTAAATTTGCTCTGGATTATGGCTTCCTGAAGATACTAACATCTTTCTGGAAAAGAATACCATGATCAGATTATTCTGGGGAATGCTAGATGGCGGAAAGCAAAGTTTTCTTAATTATAGGATTTGACAGAGCTTGGAAAATGCTAATGAATATTATCAATCTCAAAGTGAGAGACACAGCCCCTTTCCCCTATTTATTGGGATCTGAATCTTACAGGACTAATGATCTCTAGGTACTACTGGATAGCAAATGATCAAACAAAAGTTGTCATTCCACACACTTGTGTTGCTTTGGCAGTATTCCTGGGATTTGAATTCCAGGTCTGCAGCTCTGGCTAGGCTGATTTGTTATCATCTGAGTTGTGCAGCTAAACTAGTTTTTCTCTGGTTATTTTGGAGCTGGAGTCTACCATACTTTTCTGCCCAGGATGGCTTCCGTTTCAATCTTCAGGCTCTCAGCCTCTTGAGTAGCTAGGATTACTTACAGGCATGAACTACTGAGTCTGGCTCAAATAAATTCATTTTTTGCCCTTTCTTTTTTTCTGTGAGATGACCAAAAAAACAACAACAACAACAAAAACCCAGTGGTTAAAAACAACTATGCCAGGGCTAGGAGGGTGGCTCAGTGGTAGAGTGCTTGCCTTGCATGGATGAGGCCCTGGGTTCAGTTCCTCACCACCACATAGTGGCCCATAATGGCACTGTGGCTTAAGTAGTAGAGTGCTAGCTTTAAGCTGAAGGGCTGAGGGACAGAGGCTAGGTCTAGAGTTCAGGCCCCACGACCGACAAAAAGAAAGAAAGAAAAAAAAGAACAAGCGTGTCTCCTGGGCATTCATGGTTCACGTCTGTAATCCTAGCTACTCAGGAGGCTGAGAGCTGAGGACTGCAGTTCAAAGACAGCCTGGGCAGGAAAGTTTGTGAGCATTCACCACCAAAAGGCTGGAAGAGGAGCTGTGATTCAATTGGTAGAGTGCTAGCATTGAGCAGAAAAGCTCAGGGGGAGCAACGAGGCCCTGAGTTCAAGCCCCAGGACCACAACACACACACACACACACACACACACACACACACACACACACACACACACACACACACACACACACACACACACACACACACACACACACACACACACACACACACACACACACACACACACACACACACACACACACACACACACACACACACACACACACACACCTGGATGAAGTAAAGCTCAATAATTGTTAGCTAATTATAATCTCCTCTTATTATTTATTTATTTATTTTTGTTGGTTGTGGGCCTGAATTCTGGGCCTGGGTGCTGTCCCTCAACTCTTCAGTTCAAGGCTAGTGCTCTGTCACTTGAGCCACAGTGCCACTTCCAGTTTTCTAGTGGTTTATTGGAGATAAGAGTCTCATGGACTTCCCTGCGCAGGCTGGCGGGCTGGCTTTGAACGGTGATCTTCAGATCTCAGCCTCCTAAGTAACTAGGATTACAGGCATGAGCCACAAGCACCGGGCTTCCTCTCTTTTATTTATTTATTTGATTAGCTCCCCTGGGCTTAGGCATGTAAAAGTATCAGCTTTAGTCTTCCTAGGGAAGAACATATCCCATGTATCACTGTGAATGTAGCTTGGTAAACTGTCCTGCTTAGAGAGATTGCTTGGCATCATGACAAGAAGGCAGCCTGGGTGAAGATTTTTTTTTTTTCTTGGCCCTGCTTCTTTTCTTGAGTCTAGTAGGCAGACAAGTAAGCTTATTGAAAACTTCTTGGCCAAGATGAGATTGTAGTCAGATTATTGGTAAGGAAGTAGCATTGTTTTTTTGTTTTTATTTTTGTTTTTTTGTTGGTTGTGGGGCTTGAACTCTGGGCTTGGGCACTGTCCCTCAGCTCTTCAGCTCAAAGCTAGCGCTCTACCACTTGAGCTACAGTACCACTTCTGTAGCATTTGTTTTGAAGTTACCATCTCTCATAAATATATCTAAGGGACTTTGTCATTGTTGTTTGGGGTGGTGTGTGTGTGTGTGTGTGTGTGTGTGTGTGTTGGGACAGTTACTACTAGAGTTTGGACTTAGGGCTTATGGGCTCTATTCTGTTTTAAAAAATAATTATTTATTGAGATTAAGTGATTACATAAATTTCACAAATTTCACAGTATTGTGGGATAGTAATAGTTAAAGTCACGAACACATTTTAATCTTCACAAGGCAAATTGTCATTATCATGGTCTATAAAGTTTGTGAGTTCTATGAGCTTTGACAATACAACTTCAACTTCCACATCAAGTGATATGTACTTTGCTTTGTCTAAGCTGTTCCCTCTTTCCCTCTCATTCCTTCATGGGCTCTATTCTTTTTAGTTTTTCTTTCACTCAAGGCTGGCTCTTTACCACTTTAGCCACAGATATACTTCTGGCTTTTTGCTGTTAGTTGGAGAAAAAGTTTCATAGGCTTTCCTGCCTGAGCTGGCTTTGAGCTTCAATCTTCAGATTTCAGCCTCCTGAATACCTAGGATTGTAGTCATGAATATTGAGCACCGAGCTGACTTTGTTTCTTTTTGTATTTTGAGTACAAGAGTAGACAACGAAGATAAATGTATTGAGTAAACATTGAAATAAATAGAAATCAAATAAAATTATAAAACACTTATAGAGATATTTTACTATGCAGAAGTTAAACTTCTGAAATTAAAAAAAATGCATGTATGGGCTAGGAAGGTGGCTCAGTGGAAGAGTGCGTGCCTTGCATGCATGAGGCCCTGTGTTCGATTCCTCAGCACCATATAAGCAGAAAAAAGCTGGAAGAGGAGCTATGGCTCAAGTGGTAAGAGTGCTAGCCTTGAGCTGAAGAGCTGAGGGACAGCGCCCAGGCCTTGAGTTCGGGCCCTACAACCAAAAAATAATAATGCATGTAGAATAAAGAATAATTCTCATTATTATAGTTACCTCTATGGTTTTATAATATGGTATACAACTACATTGTAATATTAAAATACAACCATACTTTAATATGGTTATATAATCATATTATAAAGAATCTCAGAGAAGCTGGGCACCAATGGCTCATGCCTGTAATCCTAGCTACTCAGGAGGCTGAGATCTGAGGATCATAGTTTAAAGCTAGCTGGGCAGGAAAGTCTGTGAGACTATTCAAAAAATCTGGAAGTGGCACTTTGGCTCAAGTGGTAGAGTGCTAGCATTGAGCAGAAAAGCTCAGGGAGAGAACCAGTCCCTGAGTTCAAGCCCCAGGACTGGCAGAAATAAAAAAGAATCATAGAGAAAAAGAGGGACTCACCTAAAGTCTTACTCTCAAGTGGGTAAAATCAAAACTGGCCTCAGATCTAGGGCCCAGTGAAAGGTCTGATCATTACCATTCTACTTCCAGAAAAGTCACACATGTGCTATATCTTAGATTAAGTTGTTTTGTAAAGTGAAAAGTATTTTTGTCAACGAACCACTTATTCTTGGCTTTATAGCTTTCTAGTAAAGAGCAGAAACTTAGGGTTCAAATAGAGCCTGGGATTGAATCTTAACTATTGTATCATCTTGGGAAGAAATTCAAATCTCACTGAGCCTTAGTTTCTTCATGGTAAGAAATCATGTCTATTTAGGTAGATTTTCAGATTACTAAATATATGGCATGAAGTAGGACCTTGATGAATAATTTCATGCTTATTTAATTTAAAAATTATTCAGACATCCTAAGGTGTCTGAAAAACAAAATTCTTCAGAAACCAAGAAATAAGACCAGATAACTGCATTTTCTGTCTTCAAAAGACATCTCTTCATTGTGAAAGCATATGAACTCCTCAAGTATACGTCATTTAAATGCTTATTTGTATTTTTTTTCACTTTTTAAAAAATTTAATTTGATTGTAAAGGTGATATACAGAGGGGTTACAGTTACATAAGGTAATGGTACATTTCTTGTAGAACATTGTTACCCCACTTTTTCCCAGTTTCCCTCCCCCCAACTCACCTTCTCCCCAAGTTGTAAAGTTCATTTCCAACATAGTGTTTCATTTGGTTTACCCTTTGTCTTTGTTTCACCATTTTGTTATTCCCCTTCCCTTCCCAAATAAGATAAATGTATATACAAGCCTCAGGTACCAAAATCAAAAACAGTGAAATGGGATAAATCAAAGGGTAAAAAAAGAAATAACTTCACCCAGTACATTAAAAAAAGCCAACTTTTGTTTCCATATCTTGGAGTTAATTTCGATTAGCATCATTTTATATAGTCATATATATATAGCTACTGAGCTATTGTGATCCTCAACCCAGTGTTCCCCAGGAGATGAATGGATCAAGAAAAGGGAATTCTATGTTTCCATCAGAACGAATGGCATCGCCTCATTCATAAGGAAATGGAAAGACTTGGAAAATACATATTGAGTGAAGTAAGCCAGACTCAAAGAAACATAGGCTCCATGGTTTCCCTCATTTGTTCTTTCATCTGAACTTTAAAAACACACATGAAAATTTCAGCATTTCTAGCAGACTTGTAAAAATCATACTGGATATACTGTAGAATCCTGATAAGTAGTTTTCATATAAAGGAAATGAAAGTCAGGAAAGCTTTGTCTTCTTGGTAATTAATTGCAAGGATATAGCAATGATAGCTTCCTCATCAGTTTGGGGTTTTGTTTATAAAGAAACCAGGAAAAACTTGAAATGAAAGGGGAAAACGAAAAGAAAATATGTTGTCTACCTAAGATGCTAAGAGTTTTGTTATTATGAAGGTTCTCTTGAGTATTGGCCCTGGTGAATGTCACGTTTTTCTTTTCTGTGCAGTGTGCTCTGGCTGCTGCTGACACTATATTTAATCAGAAGGAACTGGAGGTGAAGGAACTAAAGAAACAAGTGCAAGAGTTGATGCAGGAAAACAAAGGATATATTGTATCTTTGAAAGAAGCTCAGAAAGTGAATAGATTACAGGTAGGGTTCCTTAATTTATCTACTTCTGTAGATGTAGTACTTTAAACAGAATAGCATTTTAACTTTTAATTTTTTATTTATCTTTAAGTAGTTGTACAAAGGGGTTTCAATTCAATATGAGTACAATGCTCCTTGATAAATGCCACCCCTTCCATTGTTCTCTCCCATCTCTCTCAACTCCATCCATCCCCTCAAACTGATTCCATTTTCACATATATACATTGAATATTATGACTGTACAGAATAGCATGTTAAATGATAAATAGACACTTAAGTATATTTCAGTTGAAGGATCTAAACGTAGGTACCTGAAAGATGGTAGTTTTTCCCCTAAATAATTTGAGAAACCATTTTTAGTTTAACTTCTGTTTCACAAAATGAAGCTAATACCTAGAATTTAATTTATATGGTATATAATGCTTATTTTTTTCTCCGTACTTATCCCTTCAGTTGTTTGTGAAGTTAGTATGCAGTATCATGTATCACACTTGTAATCCAAGCTACTCTGGGGACTGAGATCTGGTAGATCAAGGTTTGAAGCTAGCCAGGGCAGGAAAGTCCAAAAGATTCTTATCTTTATAATTAACCATCAAAAAGCCACTCTGTGGTCATGGTCAAATGGTAGAGCAAGAAGCTGAGTGAGCTTAATTAAGATCCTAAGTTTAAACCCTAGTACTTGCTGATATTGGAGTTTGAACTCAGCTTTGAGCTTGCTAGTTAGGTGCTCTATATTTTAAGCTATGCCTTAGCCCCTCTTTATTCTTTAGTTATTTTTCAGATAAGGTCTCATTATTTTTTGTTTGTTTGTTTTTTTGTTGGTTGTGGGGCCTGAACTCTGGGTATGGGTGCTGTCCCTCAGCTCTTCAGCTCAAGGATAGTGCTCTACCACTTGAGCCACAATGCCACTTCCGTTTTTTTCTGCTTATGTGGTGCTGAGGAATCAAACCCAGGGCCTCCTGCATGTAAGGCAAGCACTCTACCACTGAGCCACCTTGGCCACACTCATCATACCTATATCTCCCAAATAGCTTGGATTACAGGTGTTAAGAACCATGTTCAGGTCTTCTTTTACAATATATCCATTTAAAATAGTATCTAGAGTATCTGCCCTCCTGAGCTTATCCTTACCTTCATTCTACGGCAACTCTCCATAAAATTTCTTAATTTTTTATTACCTATAAGTTATAAAGAGTCATTTTCATTTCCAATACACAGGTCCAAATTCTTTTTTATTTTGTCTTGTGGTACAGAATGGTTCAATCCTTTCAATTATTGAAACTGGCTTTTTGCATAAGCATCAGGCCATTTTTTTGTTGATGTACATGTGCTTATAAGACTGTATTTTCTCCTTAATTGGGTTTATTTAAATCTGTATTTTCATTCACTTTTTGGGTCTTTTTCTATCAGTCATTTAAGAGAGTGATGTTAAAATCTCTCAAAATAATTTTGGATTTTTTTTTTCATGTAATTCTAGTGATTTTTCTTTTTACATAAGACAAGACATATTGAGGCTGTGTTATTATTAAGTACATACATGTAGAATTGCTATTTCATACTGATAAATTGACCTTTCAATTTTTTAATTTGCTTTTAGCTCTCCTAATGGTTCTTGCATTTTTTGGGGGGGAGTAGGGGGTCGTGGGGCCTGAACTCTGGGCCTGGGCACTGAACCTCAGCTCTTCAGCTCAAGACTAGTGCTTTATCACTTGAACCACAGTGTCACTAATGACTTGTGCTAAGGAATCAAACGTAGGGCCTCATGCATGTAAGGCAAGCACTCTACCACTGGGCTACCTTCCCAGCCCCGTAAAGTCTGTTTTGTGATTAGTATAGCTACACCATTTTTCTTTGAATAGGAATTTATATGGAGGGTTTTTAAAAATCATTCTTATTTTTTCTGTACCTTAGGCTTATTGTAAGCAGCCTATTGTCACCTTTGCAGTCTTCTCAAATAGTCTTGGTCATTTATTTATTTATTTTAATTTTTTCTGCCAGTTATGGGGCTTGAACTCAGGGCCTGGGCACTGTCCTTGAGCTTCTTTTGTTTAAGGCTAGTACTCTTACCACTTGAGCCACAACACCACTTCTGGCTTTTTCTGTCTAGGTAGTACTAAAGAATTGAACCCAGGGTTTCATGTATGCTAGGCAAGTACTCTACCACTTAGCCATGTTCCCAGCCCTCTTGATCTTTTAATAGGACTGTTTAGTTCATTTATGAATTTAACATAATTACTCTCACAGTTGTGTTTTTTGTTCATCTTTCCTGCTCAGTTTTCCTATTTCTCTCTTGTGTTACCTTCTTGTGTATCAGTTGGGTATTTCTTATTTTTCTATTGCTTTTCCCACTAGTGTCAAAGCTATGCTTTTCTTTATTTTTCTAGTGATTATGCCATCTACCTTTTTATTAAAGTCTAATATCAGTACCTTTACCTTTTCCCAAGACAATGTAAGTGCTTAACTGATCACTCCTCAATTTATATGCCATTAAGACTGTATACTTATTTGAATACATGACTTTTTTTTTTGTCGGCTTGGGTGCTCATGATGAGCACTCTGCTGCTTGAGCCACAGTGCCACTTTCTGTTTTCTAGTGGTTTATTGGAGATAAGAGTCTCATGGACTTCCCTGCCTGGGGCTGGCTTTGAACCATGATCCTCAGATCTCAGCCTCCTGAGTAGCTAGGATTACAGGCGTGAGCCACTGGCGCCTGGCTTACCTGACTTTTAAATAATACTGCTTTTATTTTTTGGCAGTAGTAGGGCTTATTCTAAGTAATCAGGCACTCATCACTTGAACCACTACACCAATCCCTTTTAGTGTTGGTTATTTTCAAGTAAGGGTCTTAGTTTATGCTCAGGCTAGCTTGGACTGTGGTCTTTCTGTTGTGCTTCCCTTAGTCACTGAGATCACAGGTTCTCAACACTGAGCCTAGCCTTTGTGATGAGTCATGTGCCTCCATATCTAGCTATTGACTAAGATGGAATCTCATAATCTTTTTTTAATGCCTAGGCTAGCCTTGAATCATAATCTCCCAATCTCTGCCTCCTGAGTTGCTAGAATTAGAACCACTGTGTCTGGCTAATATTGACTTGTTTTTTTGTTTTGTTTTGTTTTTTTGGTGCCAGTCCTGGGGCTTGAACTCAGGACATGGGCACTAAACCTGAGCTTTTTTACTCAAGGCTAATACATTCTACAACGTGAGCTACCGTTCTGCTTTTGGCTTTTTGGTAGTTTATTGGAAATAAGAATCTCACAGACTTTCCTGCTTTGAACTGTGATCCTTAGATCTCAGTCTCCTGAATAGGTAGGATTATAGGTATGAGCCACTAGCACCCAGCTTAATATTGCATTTTTATTGTTCTGTGAAATTTTAGGGATTTTTCCCCTATTTAAACATTGTAGCATGGAAGTGGCATTGTAGCCCAAGTGGTAGAGCGCTCGCCTTGAGATGAAGAGCTGAGGGACAGCTCCCAAGCCCAGAGTTTAAGCCCCATGACCGACCAAAAAAAAAAAAAAATTGTAGCATGTGTGAAGTATTAAGGTTTTTTTTTTCTTTAACATTTTATAAAATACTGGGTGTCATGACAATGTATTTTGATAATATTTACTCCCATCATCTTCTCCAAACTGTTAGTACCATCCAAAATAGTACCCCTTTCATATTCACATCCTTTTATTGTTGTCGTTATTACTATTGTACTAGAGTTTGAACTCAGGGCCTTAAGCTCTACCACTTGGGCCACACACCCAATCTTTTCGTGTTTAGTTTGTTTTTCAGATAGGCTTCTGTCTAGGCTGGCTTTGGACCATGATCCTCCTACCTGTCCTCCTGAGTAGCTGAATTAAACATAAACCACCATTCATGGCTCACAATGGTTTTTTTTCTGTTGTTGTTGCTATTGTTTTTGTTGGTTGTTGGGCTTGAACTCAGGGCCTGGGTATCTCCCTGAGTTTCTTTGCACTCAAAATTACCACTTGAGACACAGCAACACTTCTGATTTTTGATTGATTATTTGGAGATAAGAGTCTCATGGAGATTTTTCTGCCCATGCCCAGGCTGGCTTCAAATCACAATCCTCAGATCTCAGCCTCATGAGTAGCTAGGATCACAGGCATGAGCCATCAGCATAATGTTTTGTTTACATTTGTTGTTGTTGTTCTAGTACTGGGGCTTGAACTGAGGGCCTGAATGCTGTCCTTTAGCTTTTTCACTCAAGTCTAGTACTCTACCACTTGAGCCATACCTCTCTCCACTTCAGAATTTTTGCTGGTTAATTGGAGATAAAAGTTTCGTGGACTTTCCTGCTGGATTGGCTTGGAACTGTGATCTTCAGATCTAAACCTTTTGAATAGCTTTTGTGTCTGTAAAACAAAGATTGAAGTTAGAACTTTCTGCTTTGGATATTTTACAGGATACATAAAGTACACATAATTTGTTTTGCCATTGACTTTTAAGTTGGCTGTTTCCTGTCACCTTTCTGTCTCCTTTGCTATACAACCTGTTATGTTACCTCTTAGATTTCAACATAATAGGATTCAGCATAATGGTAATTAAGTACATTGTTCTAATCATCATGGCAAACCAACCAGTCACGTTGGATGGGTCATTTTTTTGAGTATTTTGGCTTCTTTGACTATTTGTTTTTGCTTAATACTGAAAAATTCTTTACTAGATTAAGGATATCTAGTATATGCAAGGGCCTGGGTGTTTGATGCAAAACAAGAAAAGAAAAGAAGAGAGTTTTTGCCTCTCAAAAAACTAGTTATAAACACCAGAAAGCTTTGGAATGAGGTTTGACTATATTGTTAAGATAATTGTGATTTTTGTCACTGTAAATTTGTTTTTAATTTTAACTAATACATGCACTAAGATTTTTTTTCAAATTTTACTTTTCTTCTACAAAGAATGAAAAAATAATAGAACAGCAACTTCTTGTGGATGAACTGAGTGAAAAATTAACAAAACTTAACCTGTCAGTGACTTGTTCAGTTAAGGAAAATTGTGGAGATGGGCCTGATACTAGAATTCCTGAAAAGAGACCATATACTGTACCATTTGATGCTCATTTGGGGCATTATATTTATATCCCATCAAGACGAGACTCCAGAAAGGTAAAGTCCAAACATGAGCCTTTTTCTTACTTGGAGATTTAAAATATAGCTAGTATATCGATTTAAGATAAACTATTCTATAAAATATTATAGTATGACATGCTCTCACAGTGTATTTGTGAAATTTGTAAAATTTCTGCATGTTTATTTTCCTGTTTGGTTTTATAGTTTTGGGCTATATTCTTTCTTTTATGTGTCCTTTTTAATAAAAAATAAATGAGAATACATACTATATTTGGAAGAAATGATTGTATAAAAGTCATGTCTACACTTCATCAAGGAGCAAAAGATCTCTTTATATTTTCAGACATGACTGATAGCTTTATGAACTATTATTTCTTTACAAAGGTGAGATGAGGCTAGAGGGTATTTATTTTGTTTATTTGCTTAAAAAAATTACACTTAGGAGGCTGAGATATGAGGTTCAAATCCAAGCTGGGCAGGAAAGTCCAAGAGACCCTTATCTTAAGATAATAAACAAAAAGCTGGAAGTGAGCTGTGGCTCAAGTGGTAGAATTCTAACCTTGAGCAAAACAGTTCAGGAACAGCCCCCAGATCCTGAGTTCAAGCCCCAGAACCAGCACACACACACAAAATTACACCTGTGTGTCATTCTTTCTTATTAAGCTGATATAGTCAAGACGGTGTAAAGATAAATTAGGTATATATTTTTAGTTTTCATTCTCATATTTATAATCCACATACAGGGCTGGGAATGTGGCTTAGTGGCAGAGTGCTTGCCTAGCATTTTTGAAGCCCTGGGTTCCATTCCTCAGTATACCACATAAACAGAAAAGGCCGGAAGTGGCGTGGTGGCTCAAGTGGTAGAGTGCTAGCTCTGAGCAAAAGAAGCTCAGGGACAGTGCCCAGCCTTGAGTTTGAGCCCCAGGACTGGTAAAATAATAAAAAATAATAGTTATAATCCACACACAGATTTTTCTTGAATAATTTATCAGGAATCTACAGTGAAAGTCAATTAGCAAATTCATGAAGTTTGGTTTCTATTTACTTCTTTTATGAAAAGAAATTGTTTAAGTGAAATCTATGTAGTAAGTTACAGTTATAGGGATGAGAAATATAAGAAGCAAGTTACATAAAGTGAATAGACTTTTTATTGGTCAGGCATGGGTATGAACTCTAGCGCTGGTGTATAGCCATAAATATTTGACTAAACTGGAGTGAGCCCCAACCTCCTTACGGTTAGAATGGGCAATTATGTAGTGAGGTGTATAAAGAATTTGCATGAGATGCTGACTCACTGCCCAGCACAGTGACTCACTGCCCAGCACAGTGTCATGGGTCCCATGACAGATGTGCAGTGAATGAGACAAATGCTATCTTTGCCTGTATGCTTATCTCTTCTTTTCTTTTTTGGAGGGGGGTTGATTTTTCTGGATATCAAACCGAGGGGCTTATACAATGATAGGCAAATGCTTTACCACTGAGCTCCAAACTCAGTTCCATTTGTATTATTTTCAGGTGCTTACATTTAAACTTTAAACCATTGTTAGTGTTAATTTCAGTTTTACTTTGGAGAGTTATCAACATTCTTTAAGAATGAATAAGACTTTTGTAGGATTCAATTTTCATTAATGCCATTTAAAAACTTATCGTCTGTACTTTAAATTTTGTACAATTGCTAGTGATGTGAAAATTTTCCATTTTTATCCATTCTTTTATTTCTTTTTTTTTTAATTTTAATTTTAATTTTTTGTGAACATACTGTACAGAGGGGTTACAATTACATGGGCAAGATAATGAGTACATTTCTTATCAAGCATTGCAGCCTCCTCCTTTGTTTACCCTTCACATCCCTTCCCAGCCTCCCTCCCTGCCCCCCCCAATCCTCGTCCGTTCCCCCCCCCCCTCCCCCCGCACCAAAGTTGTAAAGTTCGTTTTCGACATGACAACTTGTACTTCTCATTGTTGCAACAGGTCCACCTGTATCCTTATTTAAACGACTTGTTTTTCCCCATCTCCTCCACAAATTATACTGACATCAAATATAGTGAAAGCAGGGGTTATACTGTCGGGGAGGGACATACAAAGCAACAAAGAAATAATCTTATAAATGCGTTAGAAACAAATGCATGAAAGAAAAAAACATTAAAATACATATCTAAGGGTTCATTTTCCTAACATCACATTATCTGACCTTTTTTGCTTGACTCATACATATACTAGATATTGCAAATAAGGGAAACCATGGGACCTATGTTTCTTTGGGCTTGGCTTGCTTCACTTAATATAATTTTTTCCAAGTCTTTTCATTTCCTAACAAATGGGGCAATGTCATTCTTTCTGATGGAAGCATAGAATTCCATTGTGTATATATACCACATTTTCTTTGTTTTTTGTTTTGTTTTGTTTTGTTTTTGTCTAGTTGTGGGGCCTGAACTCTGGGCCTGGCCGCTGTCCCTCAGCTCTTCAGCTCAAGGCTAGCGCTCTACCACTTGAGCCACAGCACCAGTTCCGGATTTTTTTCTTTTTGCTTATGTGGTGCTGAGGAATCGAACCCAGGGCCTCATGCATGCAAGGCAAGCACTCTACCACTGAGCCACCTTCCCAGCCCATATACCACATTTTCTTGATCCATTCATCTACTGAGGGTCATCTGGGTTGGTTCCATATCTTAGCTATGGTAAATAATGCTGCAATAAACATAGTTGTGCTGGTAGCTTTAGTGTGGTCTTGTTTGTAAACATTTGGGTAAATGCCCAAAAGTGGGATTGCTGGGTCATAGGTGAGCTCTACGTGAAGTCTTTTGAGAAACCTCCATACTGCTTTCCAAAGTGGTTGAACAAGTTTACATTCCCACCAACAATGAAGTTAAGGTTCCCTTCTGTCCACATCCCCTCCAGCATCTGTTGTTGTTAGAGTTCTTGATTTTTGCCATTCTAACTGGAGTGAGGTGGTATCTCAGTGTTGTTTTGATTTGCATTTCTTTTATGGCTAGAGAGGTTGAGCATTTCTTCTCGTGTCTATTGGCCATCCTACTTTCCTCTTCAGAGAAGGTTCTCTTTAAGTCTTTAGCCCACTTAGCATTTAAAGTATGTCTTTGGTTATACAAATTGAGTTATTTACTTTATCTCTCTTGTTTGTGGTTTATGTCTCTTACCTCTTTCTCTTTGGAGAGATAGAGCTAGTGGTTAAGTCCTTTTTATCTTTAATTGTTTGATGAAGTCTGACATAGATTGTGACTGGAGTAAAGACTTCCAGTTACTGTTTCAAATTTGCAAATGGTTAGTTTTGTTCTGTTTTTAAAGTTCTTCTATCCCCAAAAGAGCCCTCCAAGCCACTGAAAGAAGGAAAGGAAGGAGATACAAAGGTGCTAAGTTCACAATTTTGGAGGCTCTCCTGTTCCTACTGTTTGTCCAGAAACCCTGGTCATCTCTCCCGCTTGGCTGATCACCACAGCAGCTCTGAAAAAGCAGTCTTGATGGGAAGACACTTCAGGGATAGGGAGGGGTGGTCCTCTTCAAGTCTTCTTTGTTGTTCCATTGTTTTAAAAGTAAGGGAAAAATTGCACATTGAGTATGAAAGGTGGCTAAATTAAGCCGAAGGGAACATCTGAAATATTATCTCATTTTCTCATGGATTTCTCCTTTCTTTAGTATTTAGTATTTTCTTCCTTCAGTTTAACTCTATTATTTTCTTGAAGTATAAATTGTCTAGCAAGAAAAAAATATTTTCTCAACTTAAAATACTTTCAGAGGAAATGGGGGGAAATGACTTAGTCAATTTTTAAATCAATTATACCAAGATGGTATTTAAGGGCCTTATGTTTGCTAGGCAGGCACTACTTGAACTCTACTACTAAGTTATATTTTATGTCCATAATATATGTATGTGTGTGTGTATGACAGTTCAGTGCTAGATATCAAACCTAAGGGTTCTCAAACCAAAATCAAATCTTGGCTTAAATTTAAATAAAAACAAAGAAGAATTTTACTTTCTTAGTGTAACTGTGATATTATTAAAACTAAGCCAGTCTCATCCATATTGAAAAAGGTATTTAAGAAGAAACAAATTATAAAATAGTTTACAGTCATAGTTTAATAATGATGAAAATCTATAATAGGTATCTAGACAGCTATAGATTCTTACAGAATAGGTAATTTTGTTGATATTAAGACTGACATTTTCACATGTGTCATCTTTCATGGTGGGACACATTTTACAGTTAATGGCAAGTCATAGTTTAACAGCTTTTTTTCTTTTTTGGTGGTATAAAAATAATGTGTGTCTATTAAATTTGATAAAATATGGCATTATGAAAAGGAAATAAAAGCAGTGGTCAAAATATATCAGTTTTTTACTTGACATAATTATATAGTAAGAAAACCAACTGAAGTATCCTTTTTTTGCCATTCATGGGGCTTGAACTCAGGATCTGGATGTTGTCCCTGAGCTCTTATGCTCAAGGCTAGAACTCTATCACTTTGAAGCATAGTGGTACAATCTTTAGCTCTCAGCCTCCTGAGTAGCTAGGATTACAGGTGTGAGCCACCAGCTCCCACCATATGTAAAGTATTCTTTTTTTTTTTTTTTGTCTGTCGTGGGGCTTGAACTCTGGGCTTGGGCGCTCTCCCTGTGCTCTTCAGCTCAAGGCAAGCGCTCTACTGCTTGAGCCACAGCGCCACTTCCGGTTTTCTAGTGGTTTATTGGAGATGAGAGTCTCCAGGACTTTCCTGCCTGGGCTGGCTTTGAACCTCGATCCTCAGATCTCAGTCTCCTGAGTAGCTAGGATTACAGGTGTGAGCCACTGGTGCCTGGCTTATCTGAAGTATTCTTAAGGGTTACATATTTAAAATTTATAACTGCAAACTCAAAAAGTGGAAATATTAAAAAAATTAGCTTTGTCTTGAATGAGTTATATTTGTTGAATGACAAAATTTCTGTGTATAACTTAACACTTGTAAGTTAACAGCCTCTATAATTTTTTGCTAAGAGTTTTTCTCTCTTACATAAAGGCTACTTTTTCTCACAGACAGATCATCAGGTTTTTTTTTTAATCATTTCTTTGCCTACTTAGTTGATCATGGTGAAGAGTGAGCAGCAATAAAACTGTGGGAGTCACATTTTATGGGCTGTTGACCAGATTCTTTTGCTAGCTTCCTGCAGAACATATCAACTTCATGGCTACAGAATTACCAACCATAATTACCTAAACTCTGCACAACTCTCCAACTTCAAAGTTAAATATGTGAAAGCCATAGTTATGGGATATTAGTTAATGTTTTAGCACATATAATCAACTAAAATATACCATTAATGAGAGAAGATTATTTTCTTGTTTGGTATTTTAGTGTGGGTATTATATTTTAAGTCAAATTAGGTTACTTTAAGGAAGCAACCAAGTTGCTCTGAAGTAGTTGTAATTCTAGTCTGAATCAGAGGGTACATGGTGACTGCTGGCAAATATTTGAAGACATATTTTTAGACTTCAGAGGTAGAGAAGAAGCTATAAGGAAATACAAAGAAGAGCTTAGTATTGAGATCCACCAAAGATGATGCAAGAGGCCTCCTGGATGATGAATATGTTTAAGCAGAGGCTAGATGATAACTTAGAGTATTGTAGAGAAGAGTCAAACTTGAGATATGATTAGTTTAGATCACTTTTTCAGACAAGGTCTTTCCAGGCTTGTGGCGATGTAATTCTAGGGAAAAATGGATTTTTATTTATTTTTTAATTTTAATTTTTTTGCCAGTCATAGGGCTTGAAACTCAGGACCTGGGCACTGTCCCTGAGCTTCTTTGTTTTGCTCAGTGCTAGCACTCTACCACTTGAGCCATAGCACCTTTTCTGTTTATGTGGTACTGAGGAATTGAACCTAGGGCTTCATGAATGCTAGGCAAGTACTCTACCACTAAGCCACCTTCCCAGACTGGGTAAAAAATTTTTAATTGGCATTTAGAAAGACACCCCTCAGCTCAATTCTCAATCAGCTTAGGGGGGTTAGTTATGTTGCTGTCAGTATTGTTTAGAATGTGGTTGAAAGTGCTAAAATATTCCTAGTGGTGAGTTGCAGAATGTAGAACCCAACACCGCAGTGGAATGCGATTGGGTTATAGAAGATTTTAGGAACCTGAGAGACACAAGAGCCCCTTAGGACTGGGTTGAAACAACCATCAATAAATGTTTAAATGTTGCACATTTTGACAGCGTTGGTGTGTGTGTGTGTGTGTGTGTGTGTGTGTGTGTGTGTGTGTGTGTGTGTGTGACTCTGGGGCTCAAGTCTAGCACCGGAGCCGTGTGTGTGTGTGTGTGTGTGTGTGTGTGTGTGTGTGTGTGTGTGTGTGTGTGTGTGTGTGTGTGTGTGTGTGTGTGTGTGTGTGTGTGTGACTCTGGGGCTCAAGTCTAGCACCGGAGCCATATTTCTACTTCCTGCTTTTTGTAAATTCATTAGAGACAAGTGTCTCACAGACTTTCCTACCTGGGCTGCCTTTAAACTGTAATCCTCAGATCTCAGCCTCCTGAATATATCTTAGTGGATTACAAGCATGAGCAACCAGTGCCCAGCTATTTGGTTCTTATTAGTAAGTTGGGACATTAAGTTTTCTATATAAAAAGAAAATTTTAAAGTAAGTTTCAATCACAGAGAAAAAAAGTTTGACTCTGAACAAAATGTCTTATTTGCTCCTGAAAATATGCCCAAATCCTCACAAGAGAAACTATAAAGCTGTCAATTATAGGGCAATATGGCTATGCCAGATACATTATACATACTAGACAAGTAATTCTTGAGTTATTCTGTAAAGAATCACTCTCTCTCATACCTTATTCCCCAGAACTAGGAGGTCACCTAGGAAATATTAGCCTCTATCCATCTTGGTGTTGATGTGGTAGCTGGTGACCATCAGTGAGGGAAAAAAAGATCAGATTCAAGAGAATCAATGCCAGGTAGTCTTTTTTAGAAGGGGATGAGTAAAAGGCCTACTGTCAGCTGATTGGATCATAAATGCTATGTGATACACATATCCATTATTAAAATTTTAACAACTTTTATGATTTGTGTTAAGTTGAACATTCTAAGTTATTACTTTTTCTGAGAAGTCATCTTGATGTTTTGTTACAGAGAGATGATGAAAAAGGAAACATGTTATAATTTGAGCCTAGATAAAAATATGGAAAGTTATTTGTAATTCAGTTGTTTATAAGGTCATTTGTGTGTGTACTAGTCCTAGGACTTGAATTCAGGCCCTGGACTCTGTTCCTGAGCCTTTATACTCCAGGGAAGCACTCTACTACTTGAGCTACAACTCAACAACTTCCAGCTTTTTTGGTAGTTTTTTTTTTTTTGGTCGGTTGTGGGTCTTGAATTCTGGGCCTGGGCGCTGTCCCTGAGCTCTTCAGCTCAAGGTTAACGCTCTGCCACTTAAACCATAAGACCACTTCCGGCTTTTTATGCTTATGTGGTGCTAAGGAATAGAACCCAGGGCCGAATGCATGTGAGGCAAGCACTCTACCACTGAGCCATCTTCCCAGCCCTTTTGGTAGTTTTGGAGATGAGAGTTTAATGGACTTTCCTGCCCAGGCTGGCTTCAAACCATGCTCCTCAGCTTTCAGCCTCATAAGTAGTTAGGAATATAGGCATGAGCCACCAGTACCTGACTTGCAAGATCATTTTTGAGCATGTAACATGCATTTCCTGTAGAAGTATGCTTTAGTAAAGAAAATTACAGCCAGGCACTGGTGGCTTACTCCTGTAATCCTAGCTACTCAGAAGACTGAGATCTGAGGATAATAGTTCAAAGCCAGACTAGGTAGGAAAGTCTGTGAGACTGTTTTCTCCAATTAACTACTCAGAAAAATCCAGAAGTAGTGCTATGACTCAAGTGGTAGAGTCCTAGCCTTGAACAAAAGAAGCTCAGGGACACACACAGCCCAGGCCCAGAGTTCAAGCCCCAGGACTGGCAAGAAAGAGAGAGAGAAAGAGGGAGGGAGAGGAAGGAAGGAAGGAAGGGGGGAAAGAAGGAGGGAAGGAAGGAAAAAATTTCTTGGCTAGCCCATAAAAGGGTATATATCCTATTATATTACTTAAATATATCACTTGGAACATTAATTCAGCTCTAGCTCGTCACTATTTGTTCTTGTCAAGTATGAGAAAATGCATTCTGCTATTTTTTTTTATTTTTATTTTTTTTGGTCCGGTAGTGGGGCCTGAACTCTAGGCCTGGGCACTGTCCCTCAGCTCTTCAGCTCAAGGCTAGCACTCTACCACTTGAGCCACAGTGCCACTTCCGGCTTTTTTCTTATGTGGTGCTGAGGAATTGAACCCAGGGCCTCTGGCATGCAAGGCAAGTGCTCTACCACTGAGCCACCTTCCCAGCCCCGAGAAAATGCATTCTGATTTCCAAACTGGGAATGTTTTGTCCTGGCAGAAGGAGTAGCAGTAGTACTGATTTCTTCCAGCTTTGGGATTTGATTGAAGCTAGATATATATGTTCATCAGCAACCTTGTAGTTTCTCTACATGTTCTGAACTGGGAATATTTGTCAGGGAGGGCCTTTGCTCTGTTGAAAAGCTGGGATAATTTTCATGCTTCTTTTTAGTTTTATTATTGGCTATTTTCTCTAAAACTGTTATTGAGGTATTTTTCATCCTTCTCTTTAGTTTTATTTTTGGCTATTACTTTTGGTAAAGTTATTTTCGAAGACCGAAGAGCTTTCTAGAAGAGAAAGAGCTGTGTAGATCCTGAAAGAAGCATGAGTCCGTGAAGCACCTTAGTATTGTGAAATTAATTTTAACCTTTTTGAGGGAGCACATTGTCAGTAATTGGCTGTCTAAGAGTACCTATCTAATAATCTCTTAAAAACATTTTGGATAGTAGGACAAAACTAGACATTAAAAAAATACTTCTTTTGTTGTTGGGTGGGGAAATCACTTGCAAGGTCTACTCAAGTCCTCCTATGTACTCTCTGGATCAAGTATTTGCTGGATTTCGATCACGAAGTCAGATGCTCTTGGGTTGCATAGAAGAACAAGATGAAGTCCTCCACTGCCAATTTTCAGATAACAGTGAAGATGAAGAATCAGATGGCCAAGAAAAATCTAGAATTGGGTATGTTACGTGTAGACCCACTTAATAAATATTATTATAATTATAATGATGGAAGATACATTAAATAACAATACATTACAGAAGATGCATTAAAATGTATTTTCCCATTAAACAGGAATATATAGTTTTTTAAAATATATACAGTCATATAATGTGATGTGAAAATAATGTTTGAACCAACATCATCAGCCTTACAATTGAAAATTATAAAATTGAAAAAACTTTATGAAGCTTTTGTAGTTATTCTAATGTTCAGAGGGCATGTTTTAGATTTCCCAGTTGTGCTGCCAAACATGGTAAATTTTCCATTAGATCTAGTATTGAAGACATTATTTTGAAGAATATTAGCAAAATTACTCTTATATATATATTTTAACATTGCTGCTAATGTTTTGGAGACACTAATTTAAAAGCATATAAGTAAAATCAGATAAAAAACTATCTTTGAGGGGCTGGGAAGGTGGCTCAGTGGTAGAGCACTTGCCTTGCATGCCTGAGGCCTGGGTTCGATTCCTTAGCACCACATAAGCAAAAAAGATAAAAGCCGGAAGTGGCGCTGTGGCTCAAGTGGTAGAGCGCTAGCCTTGAGCTGAAGAGCTGAGGGACAGCGCCCAGGCCCAGAGTTCAGGCCCCACGACCGGACCCAAAACAAAACAAAACAAAACTATCTTTGATCGTGATTATTGTTACTCTTTTTAACTGTAGAAATCATCAGTGGATTAAAAAGCCAGCTTCTATTTGTTCTCTTGTTGAGTTGAATGATATTCAGGATGAAACGCAAAAGTCAAGTTTGGGAAATGAAGGTACACAGACTTTCTCAAGTAAGTTAGACCTAATATTTATAAGCCACTATTGCTTTTTTTCAGTCAGTAATATAAGAAGCATCTAGGAAGTCTCAAAATTAGAAATTGATAGGAATGTTTTCTGGATTTGTAGAATTTTGTTTGTATTCTCAATTCTATAGACTCCAGGTTTTCACTCTTTCTGTTCCTTTGTAAAAGTTTTTTTTGTTGTTGTTGTTCTTTTTTACTTAGAGATGATCATTGTTTATATCCCAACCTGAGTATGTTCTGTACCTTCAGAGAACATTGTATGTCATCTACTAAGGGTCTTTTGACCTGCACTGGCACTCATGCCTGCCATTAGTTCTGGAAAACCTAGTTATATACAGAATATTTGTAATGTTTTAGCTGGTGGCTCACGCCTGTAATCCTAGCTACTCAGGAGGCTGAGATCTGAGGATCGCGGTTCAAAGCCAGCCCGGGCAGGAAAAGACCGTGAGACTCCTATCTCCAATAAACCACCAGAAAACCGGAAGTGGCGCTGTAGCTCAAGTGGTAGAGTGCTCGCCTTGAGCTGAAGAGCTGAGGGACAGCGCCTAGGCCCGGAGTTCAAGCCCCACGACCGACAAAAAAAAAAAAAGAATATTTGTAATGTTTTAGAACAAAATTGATGAAAATTTCTATGCATCAAGTAACAACATTAAGTGTTGTAACAAATCTATAATACAAAATCAAGTAGTTTCTCTTGATCTAAGTAGGTCAGTTTACAAAAAGTAAGGTTACATCCTCTGGACACCGGTGGCTCATGCCTGTAATCCTAGCTATTCAGGAGGCTGAGATCTGAGGCTCGCAGTTCAAAGCCAGTCCAGACAGGAAAACCCATGGAATGCTTATCTCCAATAAACCACCTGAAAACTGGAAGTAGTGCTCAAGTGGTAGAGCGCTAGCCTTGACCTGAATTGCTGAAGGACAGCACTCAGGCCCAGTGTTCAAGCCCTATAACCAACTGCTACAATATGAACAGACCACATCTCTCTGAGTTTTTTTTTTTGTTTGTTTTGTTTTGTGTTTTTGGGTCTGGTCGTGGGACCTGAATTCTGGGCCTGGGCACTGTCCCTCAGCTCTTCAGCTCAAGGCTAGCGCTCTACTACTTGAGCCACAGCACCACTTCTGGATTTTTTCTTTTCCCTTTATGTGGTGCTGAGGAATTGAACCTAGGGCCTCAGGCATGCAAGGCAAGCGCTCTACCACTGAGCTACCTTCCCAGCCCTCTCTGAGTTTTTTACATGTATTAGTTACTAAAATTTGACTATAAATAAACTAAATTAATTTCAAAATGTAGAAATAATGAAGATAAGTACTGCTCACATAGCCATCCTTAAACAGTTTTGTCTACAGCCACAAAATTTGTGCTAGAATATAGAAGAGTTCATTAAGAAAGCCTTTCTAGCTGGATGCTGGTAGCTTATGCTTATAGGTAATCAGGAGGCTGAGATCTGAGGGTCAAGGTTTGAAGCCAGCCTGGACAAGAAAGTCCATTGAGACTCTTATCTCTAATTAACCACTAAAAATCTGGAAGTGGTAGAGTGCTAGCCTTGAGCAAAAAAGAAAAAGAAAGGCTTGCTAAATTTAAAAGAAAAACAGGGTGTTTAGTGACATAGTTGATTTACATGGTGGTGCAAGACAGTAACATAGTGTTGGTCTACATTTTCTCTCCTCCTCCTCCTCCTCCCTCTCCTCCCCCTCCTCTTCCCTCTCCCCCTCCCCCCCCCCCCTCCTCCTCCTCTTCCTTCTTCTTCTTTTTTGCCAGTCCTGGGGCTTGAACTCTGGGCCTGGGCACTATCCCTGAACTTCTTTTGATCAAGGATAGCATTCTACCACTTGAGCCATAGCACCATTTCTAGCTTTTTCTGCATATGTGGTTCTAAGGAATTGAACCCAGTGTTTCATGCATGCTAGTCAAGCACTCTACCACTAAGCCACATTCCCAGCCCTGACTACATTTTCTGATCACAATAAAACTAGAAGGTAACAGGAAAAAATTCACTTCTCTGCCCACTTGGAGATGTGGTGCCTATTTCAAATAAGTCCAGGTAAAGCCAGTGGCAAACTGTTTATCCAAACCTCTATGAGGTTTGGGATGGGGAGGGGGAGTGGTGCAAGCATGCATGCTTAAAATTTTAAAGTAAATGAAAACTCTTACTATAAACTAGAACACTATTTATTCCTCCCTGTATTACCTATAAATTGCTTTTCTCTTTAAAATCAGTTTTAATTGAATATTTTATGAACAGATATATTTGTTTCTGAGTTTTGCTTCTTCTGTTTTAAAGATTTAAAGATTGAATGTCTTCGGAAGAGTCAAGAGTCAAATTTGCAAAAATTAAGGAGTTCAGAACTCATACTTAATGAAGCTAAACAAAAAATGAGAGAACTTACAATTAACATCAAGATGAAAGAAGATCTGATTAAAGAGCTAATAAAAACAGGTAATAGTATGCTGTTTTTATATGATTTAAAAAAAGGTCTTCTAAAATTGTTTCTGATGTGGTAATATTTATTTTAGTTGGTAAAGCTCATGACGATCCACTCTAGCTTGGATTAGGTATATGAGATACGTCTTAGAGATAATATGTGGAGATCAGTTATCAAGAATTTGTTATATTGAGATATCATCTAGGAATTGTTGTATCCACTGTAAATTTTGTGTTGTTCTGAATACAGCACTTACATATTAGAAAACTATGCTAGATACCTAAGTATATGTCTGAGATGTTTTTCTAACTCATTTTTAGTTCTTGTGGTACTGGATATAAAACCAGGGCCTTTAGTGATTTCTCACTGAGCAATTAATTGTTCATTTTAATGTAAATTTTTAAGTATTTTAGGTAAAGATAAGTTTTACTTCTCTAAAGATACAAAGATTTGTTCTTGAGAGGTTTTAGGAATAAGGATAGTTTGGAACGTTCATAAAGTGGTGATACCTAGTGAAAATAATCAATGTGCATTTATTTTCAGTCTTGCTAAAGACTTCTCCCAAATAGTAGCTACTTTACTCATGTGTACACTATATTTTGTCAGTCTAATACTTTTTTCACATCTTAATATCTATGAATTCAAGATGCATCTTATAATCAGTAGCAGTTTAGTATTTTATGATAATAATTAGCCTGTTTTTTTCTTAATGGTTCATAAAATTGGTTTGTTGACCCAATTAGTAAATAATTCAAGATTTGTTAAAAGTATTCATAGTTATGTTATTTATTGTATATTTTTCTTATTTAATTTGGGGGTATGAAGTTGAATTCAGTCACACATGGTAGGCATGCTCCATACTACTGAACTATATACCATAGCTCCTTAGTTGTCTGTATTTTAAAGTTGGCCAAATATTTAGAGTTCAGTAACTTTTTTACTAAAACCTTACAAGATTTTCCCATGCAGCAATAGAACAATTTGTATAACAGTATTACATGTTGCTTATATCCTGAGCTCCAGACACCTATTGTCAGTAGTCTGCCAATCTCACTATGGAACAACTAAAACCTAACTTGAGTCAGTAACTAATCTTAGATGAAAAGAAATATAGAAAGGAAATACAGAAATTTCTGTATCCTTCCTTTCCTCTGTTTAAATATTCATAAGTAAAGTATTTTTTAAATTTGTTCAGGTTTTTTTTTGTTTGGTGCTAGACTGGGTCTTAAACTCAGGACCTGGGAACTAGCCATTAGTTTTGTTTTGCTCAAAGCTAGTGCTCTATCACAAGAACCACAGATCCACTTCAGCTTCTTGGTGGTTAATTAGAGATTAATCTAACAAACTTTCTTGTCCAAGTTGGCTTCAAATCTTGATCCTTAGATCTTAGCCTCCTGAGTAGCTAAGATTACAAGCATGAGCCAACAACACTCAGCATAAGTAAAGTTTTGGAAAGATTATTTAACAAATTAAGTAAGGTGTCAGTTCAAGGTTAAAAGATTCTTTTTATAACTATCAGATATATTGTGTGACCTTATATAGATGCTGATTAATGAGCTAATTGTAAGAGTCATGTCAAGGCAATTGGGGAAGTCTAAATATGGACAAGTGGGTATTAGTTGTTAAGTATAACTTTGTGCTTATGCTTATATACTTTGTAGATATTTATTGAGGTATATAAAAATGAGAAGAGATAATATCTGGGACTCCTTAATATTTGCTTAAATATTCTTTAAGCAAAATAAAAGAAGGCTTACTTGAAGCAAACTGTGTCAAAATATTGATAATTCTTAAATCTGAGCAATGAGGGTTCATTTTTATTTCTTTTAATATATTTAATTTTTCCATAATTTTTTAAAATTAGAGTTTTAAAAAATGCTAGAAGACAGATGGGGTAGCAGGAAGCCAATGTGCACTAAGAGGACAGAGTGGCCCCTAATAGCCTTCTTACCTGGAGTTTGATGACAGTGAAACTCACCTGCAATTTCAGAGGATAAAAAAAATCATAGTGGGGCTGGGAAGGTGGCTCAGTGGTAGAGCGCATGCCTTGCATGCCAGAGGCCTTGGGTTCGATTCCTCAGCAACACATAAGCAAAAAGAAAAAAGCCGGAAGTGGCGCTGTGGCTCAAGTGGTAGAGCGCTAGCCTTGAGCTGAAGAGCTGAGGGACAGCGTTCAGGCCCCATGACCGGACACAAAAAAAAACAAAAACAAAAACAAAAAAATATTATAGTAACACACAAAAGATGAAACTGTGAGAATCAACTGGTACCAGACAAGAATATCGTTAAAGAACTGATTAATAAGTATAGTGGGAACTGGGAGCCAATGACTCACATCTGTAATCCTAGCTGTTCAAGAGTCTGAAATCAAGGATAGTTTTTTGAAGCCAGCTCACACAGGAAAATATATATATATATTTTTTTGTGGGTCTGGTCATGGGGCCTGAGCTCTGGGCCTGGGCGCTGTCCCTCAGCTCTTCAGCTGAAGGCTAGCACTCTACCACTTGAGCCACAGCACCACTTCCGGCTTTTTTCTTTTTTGCTTATGTGGTGCTGAGGAATCGAACCTAGGGCCTCATGCATACAAGGCAAGCGCTCTACCACTGAGCCACCTTCCCAGCCCATGGCAGGAAAGTATTGAGACTCTATCTAATAACCACCAAAAAGCAGGCAGCGAAGCTGTGGCTCAAGTGTAGAGTGCCAGTCTTGAGCAAAAAAGCTGCCAGATTCTGAGTTCAAGCCCTAGTATCATCACACACACACACACACACACACACACACACACACACACACACACACACACACAGAAATGTGACTGTTCACTGCATTTGTTGGGGGAGGGGATAGCTGACTGATTAATGCTATGCCTTAAGTGATAACTCTACTCAGCCTGAATTTTTAATTATAATTTTTATTGCTGTTGTTATTATGGTGAAGGTAATGATGCCAAATCTGTAAGCAAGCAGTATTCTCTCAAAGTAACAAAACTAGAGCATGAAGCAGAGCAGGCAAAAGTGGAGCTGACTGAAACACAGAAGCAGCTACAGGAACTGGAAAACAAAAATCTTTCTGATACTGCTTTGAAGGTCAAATTACAGAAAGAATTCCGTAAAAAGATGGATGCTGCAAAGATGAGAATCCAGGTAACTTAAAAATGTAATTAAGAACCAGGTGCTGGTGGCTCATGCCTATAATCCTAGCTACTCAGAGATCTGAGGATCTCAGTTTGAAACAGGCTGTGCAGGAAAGCCTGTGAGACTCTCATCTCCAATTAACAAGCAAAATGCTGGAAGTGAAGCTGTGGCTCAAGTGGTAGAGCCTTGAGCAAGAAAGCTCAGGGACAGTACCCAGGGCCCAAGTTCAAGCCCTAGAACCAGCACCAAAAACAAATGTAATTAGGAAAACTTTTTAAAGCCTTACTATTCATACTTATTTAAGAATTCTGCTGGGCTGGAATGTAGCTCAGTCATAAAGTACTGGTCTAGTGTCTAAGGCTCCAGGCTTGATCCTCAGTATTACAAACAAATCCCACAAAGCAGAATTCTTGCACCAAGTTAGGAGAAATGTAGGATTCTATTTACCAGAAGTAAAAACTGTTGCAATTATTTTTTATTTAGTGTGCTGATTGGTTTACATATTTTATAATGGGTAGTATATTACTTTATTCAGTAAGTCTATTTTTTTTTTACAGAAGTTATATTTTATTTACCATTTAGATGATTAACACATATAGTTAAGTGGAAGCACTTTATTTGGCTTAATTTCATCTCCAGAGACAAATGAGCAATTCCAAGAAATTTATGGCAAAGTCTATTGTTTTGATTTTGATATTTAAAAAAACTTACATGGGCTGGGCGCCAATGGCTCACTCCTGTAATCCTGGCTACTCAGGAGGCTGAGATCTGAAGAACATGGTTCAGAGGCAGCTCAGGTAGGAAAGTCTGTGAGATTCTTATATCCAATTAACCACCAGAAAATCAGAAGTGGTGCTGTGGCTCAAGTGGTAGAGTGCTTGCCTTGAACTGAAGAGCTCAGGAACAGCACCCAGGCCCAGAGTTCAATCCCCATGACCGACCAACAAAAAAAAAAAACCCAAAAAACAGAAAAAAATCTACATGGTAAGAAACAAAAATAACCACAGACATAGTATCCCTTCATGAAGGACAAAAGATTAAATGATAGTTTAAAAATATATAAATATATTAAAAAACATATAAATATGTATATAATATCAGGTACCCATGTTGAAAAAATTTTAAACCTTTTCGGGGGGAGAGGTCGGTCCTGGGCTTAAACTTTGGGCCTGGGCACTGTCCCTCAAGCTCTTTAGCTCAAGGTGAGTGCTCTACCACTTAAACTACAGTGCCACTTCTGGTTTTCTGGTGGTTAATTGGAGATAAGAGTTTCATGGCTTTTCCTGCCTGGGCTAGCTTTTTGTTGGTGGTGGTGGTGGTGGTCATGGGGCTGGAACTCTGGGCCTGGGTACTGTCCTTCAGCTCTTAAGCTCAAGGCTAGCACTCTACCACTTGAGACACAGCGCTACTTCTGGCTTTTTCTGCTTTTGTGGTGCTAAGGAATCGAACCCAGGGTCTCACGCATGCAAGGCAAGCACTCTACCACTAAGCCACCTTCCCAGCCCCCCCCCTCCGCCCCACCCCGGACTAGCTTTGAACTGTAATCCTCAGATCTCAGCCTCCTGAGTAAGTAGGATTACAGGAGTGAGCCACTGGCACCTGGTACCAAGATAGTTTTAGCCAGATGCACTGGCTAGCCTGAAATCCTAGCTACTTAGAAAGTAGAGCTGGGGGTGAATGTGAGAGGGAGCCTAGCATAAGGCCAACCCAGGTATAAAATTTGTGAGACTCTATCTCAACCAATAAGTGGGTGTGGTGATGCAATTCTACCATCCATAGAGAGACAGGGAAGCACAAAATAGGAGTATTATAGCCCAAGCTGGCCCAGGCATAAATCAAGACTCTACCCTGAAATTAAGTAATGCAAAAAAGGGCTAGACATGTAGCTCAAATAGTAGAGTGTCTGCCTAGCAAATGTGAGGCCCAAATTCAGATCCTAGTACAACCAAAAATGAAAAAAGGGACTTGAATTTGCTATTTCAGTACATGCATGCAATGTTACCTGGTCAAATTCACCCCCTTTATCACTCTGCCTCATTCCCCTTCCCCATTTAAAATACTTTCTACAAGTTTAATTGCTCCGTTTTCATATATGCATAGAAAGTACTTAGACTATATTCACTTTCTACCCTTTCCATTTGCCTTACCCCACCCACAAGTACTCACCTCCCAATAGAACCTGCTGTATAGTTTCATCATTTATTTTCTTTAGTGTGTATAGGTGCAGGGGATGAGAAGGAGGGTAGGAGAATGGTGGAGGTAAGTCATATCAAAATACATTTCATCTACATGAAGACACATAGGAAACTTTCTGAATGCTATTAAGTAATAAGAGGATAAGGGAAATGTGGAAAGGGAGAGCAACAGATCAGGTAAATTTGACTAAAGTATAATGTATACATGTGTGAACTATCATGGTGAAACCCTTTTGTACAATTTATATGTACTAAATATTTGTGAGGAAGAGAGAACCTGACAAAAGCAGACTGTCTGAAAGAGCATGTAGGAAAAGTCCAAAGTGATGACCTCTAGAAGGGTGCCTATAATCCTGCCAGCCCCTGATCCAGCCATGATGCCCAGCCATGATGCCCAGCAGCTACTCCTTCCCTGCCTTACACTGGAGCGCTTACTGTATGGAGCTTGCATAGTAGCTTCGACTAGTCTTGACTAGTAATTTTACCTTTCAGAAGAAAATTAATGGAGAAAATATGGCAAAACTTAATAAATTCAAATAAGACTTAACTAGTGGAGAAATTACTTTATTGAATAGATTAAAAATGTACAAATAACACAAAGATTGGTACATAAAACATTTCCAAAGAACCCCACCATGGACTACTATCCATGGCACTTTGTATATACTCAATAAATAGGAACTATTTCAGACAGTTTTCTGAAACCATAATTGATCGGTTTAAGAAAATAACTTTGAGGGCTGAGAAGGTGGCTCAGTGGTAGAATGCTTGCCTTGCATGCATGAGGCCCCGGGTTCGATTCCTCAGCACCACATAAGCAGAAAAAAAAAAAGCTGGAAGTGGTGCTATGGAGCAAGTGGTAGCTTGCTAGCCTTGAGCTGAAGAGCTGAGGGACAGCGCCCAGGCCCAGAGTTCAGGCCCCATGACTGGACCCCCCCCCCCCCAAAAAAAAAAGAAAAAAGAAAACAAAGTAACTTTGAGTAACACACAACTCAGCCATAATTCCTAATGCTTGAATTTAGCTATAACTTCAGAAATAGCCATAGTTAAATATTCTGTTCTAGGGCTGGGGAAGTAATTCAGTAATAAGAGTACCTGACTAATATTGTGAGACCCTGGGTCTAATTCCTATTACTCGGAAAGAAAATCCTATTGTGCAAAAAGGAATCCTACTGTGTGTATGAGGAAGCCATTTTCAGGTGCTTTGGTGATAGTCCTAGTGTTTTGTTAAATCATAATGAGTTTTCTAGAATGCATCTCTAGTTCTTTTTATTTTATGATCTATTGCTTTCATATTGCAGGAGCATATTCCCATTGTTTTCATTGTAGATAAAATTGAATTCATTTGACCTATTTAGAACAATATTATTTTGTTTGGTAGGGGGAACTACAGCAACGCTAATTTTTTTTTAACTATATGTTTGTATCTGATATGTAGCACCTGTCACAGGTGAAGATGAAAGTCAGTCCCTCCTACAGTTCCCTTGCCACCTCAGATATCTAAATATCTCCACTAAAAATTGTTACCTATATAGCCTGTCAAGTCACTACCAAATTAAACTAATACAACTTGAATATATGAACTGTTTTAAAGGAGGTCTGGTGATTGTTCATGTCCTACCTTCTATTTTTCCTCAGAATATTTATTTCAACTTACAAGGCATATCCTAGATTTGGGGGTGTTCTTTTTCATTTCTTGATCCTTCAAATGAGGGCCTTGATATCTAACAAATCACTGACTTTTTTTGTGCCAGTATGGTCTTGAACTCAGGGCCTTGACTGTTTTTGCTCGACTGGTGCCCTGCCACTTTGAGCATAAGTCCATTTCTGGCTTTGGTGGTTAATTGGAGATATAACTCTCATAGAGATTTTTCTCTTTCAACTGGCTTTGAACTGTGATCTTCAGATCTCAGCTTACTGAGTAGCTAGGGTTATAGGTATGAGCCACCAACACCTAGCCAAATAACTGATTTTAATAAGACATTTAGTAGAATAAAACAAATGTCTTCTCTGTTTAGGGATCCCATGTACACACACATACACACAATTTTTTTTTTGTCAGTCGTGGGGCTTAAACTCTGAGCCTGGGTGCTGTCCCTCAGCTTTTTAACTCAAGGCTAGCACTCTACCACCTGAGCTACAGTGCCACTTCTGGTTTTCTGGTGGTTTATTGGAGATAAGAGTTTCACAGACTTTCCTGCCCAGGCTGGCTTTGAACTGTGATCCTCAGATCTCAGCCTCCTGAGTAGCTAGGATTACAGGAGTGAGCCACTGGTACCCGGCTGATGTACATATATATTTTTAATGAAAGTTCTTAATAAAAAAAGCAAGCTCCATTTTGGTCTGGTTGCCAGCATTAAGAAGACTCATCTTTTGTTGTTGTTGTTGTTGGTCATGGGCTTGAACTCTGGGCCTGGGTGCTGTCCCCCAGCTATTCAGCTCAAGGCTAGTGCTCTGCCACTTGAGCCACAATGCCACTTCTGGTTTTCTGGTGGTTTATTGGAGGTAAGAGTCTCATGGAGTTTCCTGCCTGGGCTGCCCTTGAACCATGATCCTCAGATCTCAGCCTCTTAAGTAGCTAGGATTACAGGCATGAGCCACAGAAGCCTATCTTAAGAATACTCATCTTTAATAATTTACATGTCTGATAAAAATGATGATGATTTTCCCAGTTGTAAAATTAGAAATGCAGAAGAATATATAAATGTTGAATTTTTCAAAAATAAGTGAAAATCTAGGAGAAATGGCTGCCCTTACCATTGAATGAAAAGATTAAGTTTAGTTAAGAGATGAAAGAGATGCACTTTTTCATTTTGAAATATCTATGTGATCTCAGGTCTTACAGAAGAAGCAACGAGATAGTAAGAATTTTGCATCATTGTCGATCCATAATGAGAAACGTGCCCATGAACTAGAGCAGAATGTAGATCACATGAAATACCAAAAAGTACAGCTGCAAAAAAGACTTCGAGAGGAAAATGAAAAAAAGAAGCAACTGGATGAAGAAATTCAGCGAGATCAACGGAAAATCAAAGTAATATTGTCATACCTTCCTGCTAAGTATAATATGAAATGTTAACTGCTCAGAGCTAAAGAAGCCAGGGTCTTGATTCAGTTGGCTTGTGAAGTATCTGTCCTTGACCTGCCTTTCACTGCTGTCCTTACTTACTTCAAAGCTTTGTTCATCTACATAGTAAAAACTATTTATTGAATTCTGAGTACTGTCTTGAAGGCTTTGGCTTCACAAAAGAAGGTACAGTGATAAATGTTCTCTTCATAGGATTTTTAGTTGCAATTAGTAAAAAATACAAATTTATAGAGTTGACTCTGTGTGTGTGTGTGTGTGCGTGTGCGCGCATGTGCGCGTGCGTGCACATATGCTGGTCAAGGGTCTTAAACTCTGGGCCTGGGCACTCTCCCTGAGCTCTTTATCTCAAGGCTAGCGCTCTACCACTTAAGTCATGGCGCCACCTCCTGTTTTCTGGTGTTTAATAGGAGATAAGACTCACAGATGTTCCTGCCCAGGCTGGAACCACCATCCTCAGATCTCAGCCTCTTGAGTAGCTAGGATTACAAGTATGAGCCAATGGTGCCCAGCAGTGGAGTTGACTTTTAAATAAACAGTGTAATTTATAAAGGATTACCAGTTTTCAAAGTGTTTTGACATGCGTTGTCTATGTGGCTCCTGGAAAAAGTACAGATAAGATGATACCATGTCATTCTCAGTGCGCACAACAGTGATCAGGCTGGTGGTGTACCCCGCCATTCCATAGACTAGACAGCTGGGGAAGGGACTAGAGCTGTGAGCCTGGGCTCTGGAACAACACTAACATTAGCTTCAATCCCAACTCTCGTTTCCTGGCTGAGAAAATCAATCACTCTTTTTGAGTCTGTCTTATCTAAAATAGTCTTTAAAAAGTTATTGTAAAGGTGATATACAGAAAGGTTACAGTTACATAAGTCAGGTATTGAGAATATTTCTTTTTGAACACTGTCACCTCTTCCCTCATTTTCTCCCAGTTTTCCCCCTCTGGACCCTCCTCCCTGCCAAGTTGTACAGTTCATTTCTAACATAGTGTCTAGTGAGAATCACTGCTGGCTTAGTTTATCCTTTGTCCCACCATTTCTGTGCTTCCCCTTCCCCTCCCCAAATCAGATAAACTTACATCAAGACAAAAGGTACAGATATCAAAACTGTGACAAAAGGGGAAAATAGGAAAAAAACACAAAAAGTAAAAAAGATGATCATCATAATCATAATAACATAGTTATCTAATATATGCCCAGCTCTGTTCATTGAAATAGCAAACAGAACCAAAGGATTATAACATAGTTTTCTTTTTATTAATATTTTATTTAGAGCAGTTTTAGATTCTCAGCAAAATTGAAAATATCTAGTCTCATAAATCCTTTAGACTCCTTAAATTTTTGACACTGGATAGAATCTATTTACAGACCATAAAAAATTTGTACTTTAGTTATAGAAGAGAATCTTAAGAGCATTTACTCTTTTTTTGTCTTGTTTTTGTGCCGGTCCCAGGGCTTGAACTCAGGGCCTGGGCACTGTCTCTGAACATTTTTGCTCAAGGCTAGGGCTCTACCACTTGAGCCAAAGTTCCTTTTTGGTGATTAGAGATAAGTCTCACAGATATTACTGCCCAGGCCAGCTTGGAATTATGACTCTCAGATCTTAACCTCCTGGATCTTGAGCCACAAGCAGTTATTTTTGGTTTTGGTGTGTGTGTGTGTGTGTGTGTGTGTGTACACATGTGTGTGTGTGTGTACACACACGTGTGTGTGCACCGGTGCTGCCCCTGGGCTTTTGTGCTCAAGGCTAATGCTCTACCACTTGAGCCACAGCTCCACTTCTTCCTTTTTCTGTAGTTAATTGGAGATGAGGCTTATGGGCTTTCTGCCCCAGGCTGACTTCGAACTGTAATCCTTAGATTTTTTTCTGCCTGGGCTGGCCACACACCCTGATCCTTCTCTCAGACTCTGGGAGAGGTAGGCTTATAGGTGTGAGATACCAGTGTCCAGCCTTATTGTGGTTTTAATTTTCATTTCCTAAGTTACTAAGTTTTAATTTTCATTTCCTAAGTTACTAATTCAAGCATCTTTTCAAATGCCTATTTGTATATGTTCTATGGAGAAATGTCTGTTCATATCTTTTGTTCATTTTATTCATTTGTTTAGAGGATTTAAAATTTTCTCTCTTTTATAACTATATTTGTTGTATAATTTCCATTTATGCATAAGATGTATTTTCACCAAATTTGCTGTTACTTTTTCTTATGCCTCTACCCTCACTTTAAAAATTATTTATTTTCACCGGGCGCCGGTGGCTCAAGCCTGTAATCGTAGCTACTCAGGAGGCTGAGATCAGAGGATCGCGGTTCAAAGCCAGCCCAGGCAGGAAAGTCCATGAAACTCTTATCACCAATAAACCACCAGAAAACTGGAAGCAGTGCTGTGGCTCAAGTGGTAGAGCGCTAGCCTTGAGCTGAAGAGCTGAAGGGCAGTGCTCAGGCCCAGAGTTCAAGCCCCATGACTGACAAAAAAAAAAAAAATTTATTTTCTTTTTGAGGCAGGGTCTCACCATGTTTCATAGGCTTACTTTGAACTGAGCAGCTTAGGCTAGCTTCAAACTCTCGATCCTACTGATGCAGGCTCTTCTTCAATTCTTGTCTGCCTTTATTATTAAATTGCAAGAATGATATATTCTTGCCAGGAGCCAGTGGCTCACACCTGTAATCCTAGCTACTCAGGAGGCTGAGATCTGAGGATCGCAGTTCAAAGCCAGACCAGGCAGAAAAGTCTGTGAGACTCTTATCTCCAATAAACCACCAGAAAACCAGAAGTGGCACTGTGGCTCCAGTGGTAGAGCACTAGCCTTGAGCTGAGGAGTTGAGGGACAGCACCCAGGCCCAGAGTTCAAGTCCCACAACTGACAAAAAAATTATATATTATGGACACTAAACCTTGTCAGTCAAATGATTTCTAAATATTTTCTCATTATCTAGATTGTCTTTATTTTTTGACAATGTAAAATGTTACCCGAGCTGGTTTAAAACTCATGAAAAAAAAGTTATCCTCTTAGCAGATCTTTCTGCGTAGCCGGGACTACAGATTTGTACTATCACATTGGCCTAAACTTTTATAATATGCTTTGATGTACAGTTTTATTTTGAAGTCCAGTTGTTTCTATTGCTACTTGTGCTTGTTTTCCTAAGAATCCATTACCAGACCTGAGGTCATAAAGACTTACCTCTAGATTTTCTTATGAAAGTGCTATGGTTTTAGACATTATATTTAGGCTGTTTAGCTCTCTTGGGATAGTTTTTGTGTAGGATGTCTAGAATATCTCCATGTGCCTTGCATGTAGATCTCCAATTGTACCAGTACCATCTGTTGAAGAGACTTTTCTTTCCCTTGAATGGACATGACACCTTTGTCAAAACTCATTTTGGTTGGTTAATGGGAGACGCTGGTGGAGGAAGTAGGGAAGTTATTGGTCAAAGAGCACTAAGTTGCTAAGATGAGTATTGTATAGTGCTTTATGATTACAGTTAATACTATAAGCTGAGCTTGGAGAGACGTACACCTCAGTACTTGAGAGGCCGAGGTAAGAAGATCTGAAGTTTGAGGCCAGGCAAGGCTACATAAATGAGAGCCTGCCTAGAAAAAGATTGTATTTTAACTATAAAATTGCCAAGAGGAAATTTCAGTTACTTTCATCTTAAAATGTAAAATGGTAATTATACGAGATTATTAATTACCTTGACTGAAATAATTTCATTTATGTATATTAAAACATTACCTTCTATACCTTGGAACTTTGGCCAGATATCGTGGCTCAGCCTATAATCTAGCTACTTTATGGGCAGAGATCAGAGTGTCATGGCTCTAGTCTAAGTCTGGGCATTAAAATATCTCAACCAGTGATTGAGCATACACACCTGTTATCCCATTTACAGGTGAAGCAGAATGGCTTGGCACAATAGTAGACACATGTCATACTACATGACACTGAGAAGCACAAGTAGGAAGATTGCAGACCAGCCTAGCCTAAGCATAAAGTGAGACCCTGCCTTGAAAATAACCAATGCAAAAAGGGCTGGAGACATGGCTCAATGGTAGAGTCCCTTTTTAGCCAGACTCTGAGGCCCTGAGTTTAAGCCATATTACTGCCAGAAAATATTTTTTTAAAATAAAAGTCAACCGGGGAGCCTGGCATCAGTCTGGCTCTAATCCCAACTACTCAGGAGGCAGAGTTTGGAGGATGAAGATTGAAAGCTAGAGGTTCCAGGCTCATAGGGTCCTGAGTTCAATCTTCAGTGCTAGGATGAAAAAAACTGCAACTGGCCATATGTGATGAATGTTCTCTTCCACAGGGTATATTTCTATCCTCTTGTCAGTACTACACTTTTTATTTCTTAAAATGTATAGTTTTGAGACATCAACAAGTCTTCCAGCTTTGCTTGTCTTTCCTTTTTTCCTTTGATTTCAGTCCTCTGCTATTCCATATAAATTTTTTTTTTATTGTAAAGCTACTATACAGAGGGTTACAGTTACATGAGTGAGGTTATGAGTACACTTCCTCTTGAACATTGTTACCCCCTCCATTGTTTTCCCCCTACCATCCCCTCCCTCCCTCCCTTCCCCGAGGTTCTTTTTTTTTTTTTTTTTGATTGTGATTAAATGATTACATAATTTCAAAGTCACAAGTTCATTCTAACTTCCCTGGAGCAAATTGTCTACCACAGTCTGTAATATATAACATTGTTCACGTTATATACCATAGTTGTGATCAGCAGCATGGGGATATTTAGTAGTGGTTCAACCAGATGAGCGGGAGTTCTTTGTTTCTTAAGTCCTGTTAGTTTTGTCGTATCACCTAACCTTTTGGATTTAGCATCCACTTATCAGGGAGACCATGTACCGTTTGTCTCTTCGTTCTTGGCTTCCCTCGCTCAACATGATTCCTTCTAGCTCCATCCATTTCCCTGCAAATGCCATTATTTTGTCATTTCTAAT